AGTAGAAAAATATAAATTTTTACAGTCGTATATAACTAATAATTAACAAGTGGATCAACCATTGATTAACTCAATATTGTTCGATTCTTTTAAAAAAATTTTAGTATCCTTGATTTCACCGTAGAAAAAAAGAAATTATTTACGAAATTTATTCTCCATTTTAAATATTTATTAAATTAATTTATTTATTTTGACAAGTTATCATATTTAGACACTATGTTATTAATAAAATTAACATTAGTTAAATCATTATCCATAATTTTAGACTTTTTATTATTCATTTTTTTACTAATATTAGACTTTTTGATCGAATATTAAAATATTATTACTTTCCGATCTTTCCCTCCATTGGTGATGACTATAAACAGTATTTAAAATAAAAAAATTTCATTTGTATATGAAACATTTCATCAAAAAAGAGAAAGATTTTAGGTAACAAAATTTCAATTTTATCCAATATTAATTCAGAATTTTCTATAATATTTAAAATAATAAGATTTACTAAAGATCTATGAAGATCGAAAATATTATTCAAGATATTATCAAATGGATGCTACATCAATAAAGACTATAATGAATATGCTTTTTGTATACAGATACATATTTTATCTTTAAATGTAAAAATAAAAAAAAACAAAATCAATACAAATTATTATAGTTGTGTAACTATCTATTATTATCATTAACTACCTAGTTGTGTATTAAATTTAATTGTAAATCTTATATAGAATATTCGTAATCTTATTCATAAAATATTTGTATTTAATAAACATTGCTTCAAGTGGCTACAAAATGGATTTATTATTAAAATTAATTATCACGGGTTCTCATTATGATAATTATTTTATATATATATATTTATATATACAAAAAATTATAAATATTGATTGTACTTTTAGTGATAATTAACATATTAGAATATACTACGAAAATATTTAGTATGAAAGTATTGAACAAGTTATCAATTAAACAATATCGATAAAGAATAAAATATTATATTTTTAATATAAAAATGTGATTATTAAAGAAAATTTTATTGGCTGTCATATTTTATTTTGCAGCTTAGATTCTACGTTATTGAATGATGATAAAATCAAGACAACTAAATTTGAATAACTAATATATTAGTAAATAGTATGTAAATATTTAATATGCTATTATATTATTTTATAAGGAATATGTTTAATAATTGGAGTAATTGAAATCATTGTTATTAAAATTTTAAATAATATAATATAACTTAAATTACATACGATCTTCATCGACTGTTTGCTGAAATAATAAATATATAATGCATTTTAGAATATATTGTTAAAAACAACATTTTTAATATATTTATATTTATTATATTAATTATTGCATATTTATTTTCAAAAAGTAAAAACCGTTTAAAAAAAAAAATTTCATTTGAATTACTGAGTAAAATCGTATTGAGTTAATAATATTGAGTATTTATACATTTTGATTATTTTTGTAATTCTTCAAGTTATTGTTTATATACTGTGCCTGTACGTATCGTGTGCAAGATCTTTCGTTTAACATATATACTCAATTGTAAATTACTCAATTATTTGTTATCGAGATTTTTTATACAATAGCATTATATCAGTATAAAATAATAACATAATATTATTATGTTATTATTATAATGTATAAATGTAAAATGCAACGTATAATTTTGTTCGATTCGATTTAATATTTTTAATAGAAGTATAAAATGCGATCGAAAACTGTATTTAAATTATTATTGGAAGATGATATGCCAATGCAAAATTATATCACAAATTACTGATTGTACCACCAATTATTTTTTATAAATATGCCCTTGTATTATGTTTCTGCTTGTTTGTATTGATGGAAATGTTTTTTATTGATTTAACTGTATATTATTTTGAAAAAAACTTCATATTCAGCAAATATAGAAATTTAAATATCACTTAATTAATATTTTTAATCTTTTATAACAGGATGAAATATTTTACAGGAGATTTTTATTTGTTAATCATTAATTAATTTAATTAATTAATTAATTATGGGAAGAAAACGTTTATTTAATGAAAGGATTGTATTTTTGAATATAATATTGAAATTGTAAATAAACAATTCTATTTTCGTAATAAAACCACCGTTTAAGAGTTATTCTTATACTATCATTATTATTATTAAATGCATTGATTTCTAATTAATCATTTCATCTTAAACCATTTATAGTCGTTTAATGTCATTCATCATAAATTTGTATTACATTCTATCGATATTTTATCTGTTTCTTAAGTTCTTTCTTTGTTCATTTATTTGTTTTAGTGTATTTTTTTTAATCCTATATATTTTCTTTATTTATTTTTGAGAAATTTTATCTATTTGCTTAATACTTCTACAACATATATTTACATTCTCAATATCTATTTCATTTTTTAATATTTTTTCAATACATATGTTGTGATTTTTTTTATACTCTTCTTTTTTCGTGTATCTACACTGTTAAATGCTGTTTTTTTTTTGTATTTTAATTACTAGCGTCAGTTATTAATTTTATTTAATTTTAAATTTTTATAAACTCTTTTGTGGCTTAAATATCATAAATTATTTTGTTTTATTATAATTGATATTTGCTATTTTATTTATTCATTTACAAATTTTTCAAATTACGTATATTATACTTTTGCTAGTATCATCTCTTAAATATTATTTTGTCACTATCTTTTTATTTTCTTTCATAGTCTCTTTTTGATTCTTTTAATATTCTTCAATAAAAATTTTATATAACCCTCTTATTATTTTTTATTTATATTTTATTATAGCTTTAAACGATCTTCACTCTATGTCCTATACTTTGTTGTCTTCAAATACTATATCATTTGATGTAATAACATCTACGTATAGTGTCAAATTTTATATTTGTTATTATACTTTTTTAAATTCTGATAAGTTTATGTATCCGTTTTAAATATAGCTATATTTTTACAAACATTTACAATTTCATTTTTCATTAATATTGTTTGAAATATTCCGTCCATATGTATTTTCCATATATAATGTATATATAAATAATGTATAATAAAACTATTTTATATTATGTCTTTTAACTTTTCGACATTTTCATTCTCCATGTTTACTTTTACATTTTTTTATTTCAACATTTTTTCCTTTTCGGTATTTAAAATCCTTTTCCCTATTTAAATCTATTAAAATTTATTTCATTCTAATATTAAATCTAATATTAAATTATAATTCACTATTAATAGAATTAAAATATCTACCCTTATAATTGATCTTATTTAGTTGTTAAGTATTGTTATTCCTCATTTTTACCGTTTTTAAATCTTATAAAATAAAATTTAAATATATGCAGAAAAGCATCAGAACAGTTTTCTATTTTCTGTTATTAAAAATTTCTTTTAATTTATCTGTTTAGCTATCAATATATATTATATTTTTTATCGTTTTATTACTCTCTTTCTTAATCTTTCTTATATGTAGTCTATAATGATTTCTATAGCAAAATTTTCTATTTACTTTATTAAAAAGTATCCTTAGATATACAAATTCCAAAAATACTTTCAACTTTATGCAATGAATTTATTATCTATAAATATAATTAATTTGATAAATTGTATTCCTCTTATTTCTTTAAGCTTCGAGCTTATTTATTTGTTTAAATTTTTACGTTTAAGCTTTTACTTGTTTAAATCATGCTTCCATTATATTATCTATGCATATTTTATCTATTATATATTATTATATATTATATATTCGCTATCTATTGCTATTTTCATAAATAAAGATTTTCGCTTTTCTTTGAACATTTTATATCTCTTTATTTACATACAATTTTTAAATTATTATTATTTTTGACGCGTATTTTATGTCATTAGATTTTACTTTTTAAGTATCTTCATAGCCAGTAATTCATTACATCCAATATGTGTATACAATTTTGTATTTTTTTTCTACTTTTGAAAGTTGTATAACTTATTTTTACTATTAAATCGCAATTTACACTCTTTTTTATATTATTTGTTTTTTTTCATTTTGTATTATTTAATTTCTTTATTACCTTTTGAACTAAGCTTCCTTTCATTGAATGTCTCATTTTACTCTATCAAATTTTTATATCTTCGATATTTAATAATTATGTGTTAAATATTTACTAAAAGAATTTTTTATTTTTTGTTTCATATATTTCTTCTCTAATTTTTCACACAACTGTTAATATTTCCATGACTAATTTCTTTTTGCTATTTGTTTTGTTTTAATTTTATTTTATCATCCATATCATCTTGATTATTTAAATTTTACTTTTTTAACTATTCTTTTTTATTTATTTTCTTCTTTATTTCTAAGATATTTATTTCAAAAATTTTTATTGTATATTTGTTCCATGCTATTAACATCACATATTTTTACTGTATGTATTATTCTTGTTTATCTTTTTTTTTAATTCAAATTTTATTACATCTTCCTTTTTGAGTGCATTTTTTATAAAAAAATCAAAATCTAAATGATAACTAAATAAAGGATATTTAGTGAATTAACTCATAGATATATACTTTCATGTTTATAAAAACTTGTGTTTTAAATGTTATTACTGAAAAACTTTAGTATTTCATATTTCGTGCTATTAAGTAATTGTAAAAGTAATTGTAAAAAAAATTTATGGCCCATAATTGGTTAATAATTTGCAATTATTTAAGATGAACTTTCATGAACAGCTGTAAAGCAATATTAAATTTTGGAATGAGAAATAATTTTTTCTACATTAAATTATGACATTTCTACATTAAACGTTAAAAAATTATGGTAATTTTATTTTATAATGTATCATTATATTTGGCATTATTTTTCTATTTCAAGATATCTCGTAATATTTTTATATATATAACAAAATTATTGAATTTAGCATAGTCATTTTTAACTATAACAAACTCAAATATATTCTTTATTTCGTTCATGCAGACATTGATTATATAAATAATTGATGTGTATTATTTTTGTTTCAGTGTTTACTACGATCCCTTTCTAGCTGCACATGCAGCTACACAAGATCCTAATTACAGACTACAAGTAAGATATAACTTTCACTAATTCTATCGTATATAAAGTAATTTCCTGGCGTAATTTTATTGATCATATTTGCTTTTAATGATAATACTTACAAATATTTTATTTGAGAGTTTCTACGCTATTAAGAGAAAATAAAATTGTTTATTACTTATTTAAAAAATAAAGAATAAGTTATAAAATTAAAGTAAACTTAAAAGTTATTTATGTAATTACAATTTTTACCAGAATTGTCAAAAAGATAATAGAAGAAATAAACAGTATTAAAACATTACTTTTGTATTACTTAAATGAATAATTTTACAATATCATAATTTTGTAATAAATAATAAAAATTAAATGTGTAAGGTACACTTTGTACTAGAAAACACTGCATATAATTTTATAAAAATAATAAAATCAAATTCTCCAAAAAGTTTTTTCATTTATAGATTTTTTGTTTATAGAATTTATTTAATTTAATAATGGCTTTGTAGAAATTATGTATAAAATTAAAATTAATAATAAAATTGTATTTATTTAAATACATAACTATATAAATACTTATTATACTTAATGCATACATTAACTGAAATAAAGTACGTATATAAGGATATTTGATTATAAAAATCGATTATCGTAAACGATGTTCTCTATTTCAAAAAAAGTATTCTTTTTTGGATAATTGATAGAATAAACTTGTTTTTTTTTTTAATTTTTTCCACGCGTTTTAATTATATTTTTAATTTTACGGTACACTTACATATTATAATAATGTAATAATTTAAATTGCTTGACTCTAACGTTAAAATATGATAACTAATATTAGATGAATAATTAATGAATGTAAAAAGTTACTAAAACTTTATAAACTTTATATAACTAAAATTTTTATAATATACTATATTGATATTATATTTATAACATTCTATAATATAACTTTATGATTTTATTTCAATACTTTCTTTTATTGTTTAATATTCATTCATATTTCATAGAAATTTTTGTAATTTTGTTGTAATTATATATTTCAAAGAACTATCTCTTGATATTTTGGAATCATTCAAGTTTTAAGCATATCGTATAACTATATATTTTTTACTGTGCACTATCAGCTGATAGTTGATATCATAAAGTTTATTCATTTCCTTTAAATATCAAAAGTCAGAAATAAATTTAGATGTATTGTGAACCATATATTTTGTATGTAACTTAAATGTTTTTTTAACAATTTCAATAGTTTATAAAAAATTATGTCATTCAGACATAGAATTTTTGTAATATAAAATGTATGATAATTTTTATAAGATTGCTGTGTTGTCTTGATTGAATAACATGAAATGTTTCCGCTTAATGTGGACAAATATCTTATTATTTAAGTTTGTAATCTCATTTAAAACAGCATTTTGTTACAATCAATAAATCGAGATACATAAGGTTGGTACCATGATATTAATACCTTAAATATCATTTTAATGTCATTTTATTTATATAAATTTTTTAAATATATAAAGTTTCAAAATTTAAATAATTTTAAAAATAGTATACTAATACAAACCTTTACGTCTTTAAATATCGTATTTTTTGTATTTTTATGAAATTAATAAAAAAAGATATATTAATGAAATTATTGTATATTTATGATTAAAAATTAATATACATTTATTTATCTATTGAATGATGCTTTAATGCTATAAGTCGTGTATTTCTAGAATAGTTTAATACTAAATATTAATATAAAAATAAGAAAATGTAGGTAAAAATGTAATATTCTATCATTATTTCAATTATGTGAAAATATATACTTTTTAATAATACCTAAGTAATATATTTCATTCTGAACGTCATAATTCCCATAAATTAATTTTAATATTATTTCATAAAATACTCTATAATTGATAGCATTTTTATAATAAAATTTTTTAATTATATATTAAAATGTTTAACTATTTTAGGCTGCTGCTGCTGCTGCTGCTGCAACTGCACCTCTTCTAAAAACGCCGTTATCAACGGCTCAACAAGCAACTTATGCGGCTGCTGCTACTTATACAGCTGTCGCTGCCCGCGCCTATGGAGCAGCTGCAGCAGCTGCTCAGCCTGTTGCTGGATACACTGCAGTAGCTGGGTAAGTTTTATTAATATGTTTCTAATTATTGTAAATTAATTGATAAATATAATATAAGTAAATTCACATTGAAAGTATAATTGAGTTGCACTTTAATAATATTGAAATGTATCGAAAAAATTATAAAATTATCTTGTTGAATGGAATGGATGAGTTCCATCTTCACCTTTTGGTTGAATATGTGTATAGAAAAGACTTTGACTTATTTATTTTTTATTGTATATCGATTGAAAGAAATAAGTTTTACGAATTGTAAAATGTTTAGTTTCTAATAATTTTTATGATAATTTTATATTATTAATAGAAACAAAGAAAATTATTTAGAAAATCCATTTTCAAATATTGTAATTACTTGAATTGTATAGAGAATTCAAAAAGCTCAAAAAATATTAATCAGTCATATCAATTCTTTTTTTATTTAAAATAATAAAAAAAATTTATAAAATCCATGACTAGTCACACTTTAAAACTGTCACTTTTCCTAGTTTAATTATTTTATTTTCATAATATATTACTTTACACATGCTAAGTTATTCAATAAATCATAAAGTTTTAAAAATATTTGTTAAATATTAAATTAACAATTATTATTCTTATTATTTTTAGTTATGGACGTGAATATGCAGATCCTTATTTAAGCCATGGCATTGGTCCTGTTGCAGGATACGGGGTAAAGAATATTAATAATTATATTTTTATTACCAGCAAAATAAATATATTTGCAAGAAAAAACGTTTCAATTTTTTAAAATTAAAGGATAACATGAAGTAGAATGATGATGCTAGAATTTTAGATATTTATTTCATTAAAGGTCAAAACAAAAAAATTTAATGTAATTTTTTTAGTATCTTATAAAACTTTTATAGAAAACTTTATAAGTATCTGTTTTAAGAAATAATATACGTTTGTAAACTTTCATCAGAATTCAATACCAAATAAGAAATATAAAATTAAAAATGGAGTAAAATAGTTTGTATAAAAAGTTTCACTCTTGTGAATACAATTTATAAATTATAGTTAATATTTTTTAAAACAAATAAAATTTTATTTATTTTAATTCTAAACATTAAACAACAGTTTTATAATAAATGTAAATATAACAAAACGGTAAAAGAACTTGAGAAATTTATAAATCACAAATAAGTTTGAATAATAACTTTGTCAAGATGCAATAGTAAATGTACAATATAAATAGTACTATAATTATTCGACACAAATTTTAACAAGTTTAACTTATAATAGAATAATATAATATAACAATAATTTGCAAAACTAGAACTTTATAAATATATTACGCTAAGCATTATAATTTACCCAAATTTTATTGAACATTTTTTCTAAATCAATAATTACTTCTTAAGAAACTATAAAGCAGAACCTAATTATTTCTTAGCTGCATAGCATAACATAAACAATTGAGAATGCCATTAAAGATAAAATAATATTTAAATCAAATAATTGTAGACATATAATTAATGCAATTATCATAAAATGATGTAGTACTTCATTTATTTATAATAAAAATTTAGAATAAAATAATCATATGCGGTTGTACAGATAAATTAATATGTTACATGACAAGTTAAAGTAAATTGATAAGAATTTAATGTTATGTCCATTTAAAAAAGAAGTTTTAAAATCTTATTTCATAATAAAGTAAATATCAACCAATTAATAATTCATGATCAAAGTTTTGATAAAATATGGAATGCTTGGCTAAAAAAGGAAAATACTTATATTAAAATAATTGTATTTAACTATTTTATTATACTCATTAAAATTTTAATACATTTTTTAATACATAAAAATCGTTTAAAATACATATAATGAGTAAATTATTACGGAAAAATAACTAATTGCTAATAATTTATTATGGAAACAAAGCATTCTGATATTTTTCGTAGTTAATAATGTTTATCGATACTTTATTTAAATTAATTATAAAATTTATCATAATTTGTTTCAGGCAACAGTTTATCGAGGTGGCTACAATAGGTTTACACCTTATTAAAATTTAAAATTATTTTCAAGAAGGACGTGCTATGATATTTATTGAAAATACGTCAAATGATGATAATTATATAATATAAAATATTATTCCAGATTCAAGTCATCCATGCTTTTTAAGGTTTAGACTTAGTGTCGCGGTTATTTACTGCTTTTCTGTAACAAACTGTAACAAATATAATTTATTTTTTTTAGTTTGTTCTAGCAACCATGACAATTCTTATTATATATATATATATATATATATATATATATATATATAAACTAACAACAAAAATCGTAAGATTTTATTTCCAATTTAAAAAAATTACAGTTCCATTATTGAGTTATAGAATACAATTATAAAATTTTTTTATTTATTATCCTTTATTAATGGCATATCAGCGAATAAAAACAGTTCATTTATACTAGTAATGAAATTATTTTATCCTAATTTTGTAATAATTCAAATGAAACATTATCACTGTAATGATTTTAACGCTGACCTGCTACATGTTTATTCAATTCTTTTAATAATACAAAGCGTGTGCGATAAATATTTCATGTAATCGCTTAACTATCACAAACAGATTGTAAATACATTGTAAAATGTAATGTCCACAAGCATAAAATTGAAGAATTTATTATTTTGGAATTTTATTCAATTTACAGTTATAAGAATACCATTTAAAATTGTAAATCTTCAATTGAAATTCTTTGGTTTCTCTTTTTTTAATGAAGTTTTATTTAATTATAACATACACAACTTACTTGCGAATTATTATGAATATACAAAAAATAAAAATGCAGTCCTCAATAAAATATATAAAAGAACTTTAAATTATTGAAAGTGAAATAGGATAGTATAATTCAAATATTAGTATGTATAATTTTTAAATATATGACATATATAACATACATTTGTCATATGTGCATTAAAGTTTAAAATTAGTTGATTTACATAAAACATGAATTATAGATTTTTTAATTAGAAACTATTATTATAAAGCTGCTAAAAATACTAATATATTTGTTTGACTATAAGTAAAAATTAATATTAAATCATCTTCAAATATAATTTTGCAACCTTTTCATTTGATATATATCGATAATTTTGAACTTTTTAGCTTATTTAAAACATTCACAATCCATGCTTCAAATAAACCAATAAACTTAAATTTAGTGCGCATATAATAAATGGATTACACTAAGTTATACACATAGCAATGTATTAAATTGCATATGAAGTGCAAATCAATTTGATATTGCTTTACAAATATAAGAGAAAATGTTGCACATAACTTTTTATGTAATGCATGCAGGGCTCATGCATATTACACAAATTTTCTCTACCTTTCGTCTACGTACGAATAAAATATATAATAAAATTAAACGTTAGTCGTGTAAGTTAGAACAATGCTTGTATATTGACAGACTGCATAATTCCACAAAAGCACACGAATGAAGAATATTGATTTATAATAGGAATTTTACATCTTATGAAAGATTATAACCATATTTCGAATGTGTTGATAACAATTTTAAGAAATAAATTTAGAATAGTTTTATAATATATAAATAAAACTTTGATATAAAACTTAAAGAATTAATTACGAAATGTTGGTGTAAGTTTTAAGTACATGTATCTAAACACAATATATGATCTAAAATTTACATACCGCATGACTCCAATATATTTTAATTGAATTTGAGGTTAAACAAATGATACGCACATATTATAAAATAAGAATACAGCAACAATAGTTTTTTTTTAATACTTTACAATTAGATTTAAAAAATTGAAAATATTTATTAATACTAAATTTTTATTTTTGTAATATTCTTTATTCGTAAAAGTATCAAAAAGATTATTATTACGTAATCTATATAAAACAATCTTATGCTAGATTTATATTTATTTAACGAAAAATTTAAATGTACATGTCCATGCATAAAAATGAAGGTATCTTTATTTAAATGCATTTTATATATACAATTCCATGGCATTAAAATAAATGTATAGTATTTGTATAATATTAAAAATAATTCTAAATTCAATTTTTATTAAATTTATTTGATACCAGTTTGTAACAATCATTAATGATACATAGTTTTCTTTAAAAAACAAATTATATATATGTATTAAAAATTATTACAGCTTTGTTATTAATATAATACATACTTGTGTAATAAGATTGCATTTTTAATAATGTATTTAAAATCTAACTAATGAATTAAATTTTTTAGAATATATTAATTTTATTTTTATTTAAATACAAATTATGGTTCTATGTTTTTTCTATTTATTATTAACATACACAAATAATAAAAGATAGTTTTATTTATAATTATGACTTATAAAAATAAAAATTATGAATTAACATAAATATTAAATATAAAATAGCTCAACTCATAAAATAAACATTACATCAATAATAGATGAAGCGTGAGCTTGAAAGTATTGGTAAAAGTTAATAACAGTGAAAAAACAAAGTTTTGTGAAATAGTTAAATATAATATTTTATAATATTTAATAGTTACAAAAAATATCAACATAGCTACATTTTAATCAATTATATTAATTTAATAGTAGCATAAATAATAATACTCTTATGAACCTGAATGCGTTCTTATAGGTGCCAGTACTTGTAAATAAGCTTAAAGTCAAGCACAAATGTAAAGCATAAAAATAAGTAAATTTTAAATATCAACATAATGTAAGAATGATTTATTATTAGTAATTTCAAATGTATTCACTTTATAATCTCAGTTACTCTTGAACAGTACAAAAAGTATTTTCCGAGTTCAACTTATTTTATTTAAATATTAGATAATGTAGTTTTATCTGTCTCTAAATGGGTTACTATAAATAAATTTTATTAATTCTATAAAATTATAGATGATATTCATAAATTACATTTTACAAATTTAATAGAATTTTGAAAGAACTTTTAAGTAAATTATTTGTCAATAATTATGTATTAAAATTAAATTATAGATATCAGGTTTTATTTTTAGATACCAAAATTTAATTTTCTCAAGTTTAATTAAAATGTGTAACCCAGAGACTGGTATTATGTAAGATAAATATTTTCTGATATTAATAACTTTTTTGTACTTTCCTCAGTATAGTTAGAGTTTTTAAATATTCATGCCAAAAATGATAAAATCTTTATAATAAACCAAAGACCATATGAGCGTAAAATATTTATAAAGTTTCATTAATTGAAACAAAACATAATTGGTCATTTTGTAAAAAGAAACTTTTATTCAATGTAATGCAATAAACATTAATTACTATTTTAGTCATGTTTATAAATATAAAACAAATATATTTTGATAAAATATATTATTTAAGAATTAAAAATTTGTAATAAGTTAACATTATATTAATTTACATTATCTATTAAATGTATTACAATTGACAAAAGTCTTTTAACATATGGAATAATGTTATATCGTAAGTTATTTATTCTTGTATAATTTAAAAAAAATTAAAAGTTAAAGCTGTATGTTATATACTATATACTGAATTTAAAATCTATACTACTTATTATATTAGAAAAAAAAAGAATAATTTAAATATCAGTAATGCATTTAATATAAGTTATCCCATTTAATATTGCAAATGTAAACATATAAGCTTATTTAATTATTTTTTACCATATTGTTCAATATGACATACAATAGATAAAATTCTTGATATATTAGTAAGTAGAAAATATACTTGATTTATAACTAAATATGAATTACTGCACTGAATTGGATTTTAAACGGTTTAATGATTATATTTATATTGCAAACAATTGATTTCGATAATTAAATAAAAAAGGATATGTAGTTAAATTATGAGTTTTTAATGGATAAGGAAATACTCTGTATCTTATATTACAGAATACATATGGCACCAATCACATGAAATAATATGATTATTTTAAAAAATTTATATATTTATATATTATAAATATTATTTATATATATATAATTTATATAAATTTAATATATTTTTTATATAATATTCAAATTATTATTCTGCATTTTATTAATTCTGTTAAACGATTATTCATTAAATTAATTTTATATACAAATTGTATTAGTATTATTCAATATGAGTAATGAAAAACAAAGTCATATAAGCAATATAAATAAATTTTGTCACTTCATTTTTTTCAGAGTAGGATATTTTATTCTTACAATTATAATATTTTGATATATAATTTAATATATATATAATAATAATAAATAAGTTTATTTAAAAAAAATTTGCTTTAAATTTGTTATAATCTATAATTAGTACATTTATCAATAATTAATCAATAATCATTTATCAATCAGCAGAACTGATTTTAAATACAAATTTTTTAATAGTTAATATGATGTACTTCCTTTTAAAAACTATACAATTTGTATTTCATAAAACTATAAATTATCTTTTATCTCATTTAAAATTAACAAGATTATAGAATTTGAATAAAAGATTAATATAAATTAATAGAAATATATCACAATTTATAGAAAATATATATAAAATATAATTGTTTTTGAGAATGCTGTAATCCACTTGTATGTATTGCAATATTTAAGAAATTTATAATGGATTCCAATTTTTTAAGTATTAAATTATAATGCACATACTTATTTAGAAATAAATCTTTGTTATTAATTATTTTTTATTTTATTGAGTATTATTGATTTCACGAATTTTTTAATACTGAATACGCTAACAAATAGTTTATAAAAATTATAATGAACAAATCGTGTTTAAAAATTATTTGTAATGATCAAAAAGCATTTTTATTTCTGCACAAAATTTTGTTATTGATTTTATGCTATCTGAATCTTGGATTATTTGATATTTTGTATTTTCATAAATTTCAAATAATAATACTTAAATTTCTTTATTATTTTTTTTTAATAATATACAATCATAATGTTTAAGTTATTTTTTAATGTATCTTAGAAAATACTATGTATTTTAAATATATTTTCAGAACTGCAATTAGTATTAAAATTTTCATAATAATAATTAAAATAATTACAAATTTCTTATAAAATTCTAAATCCATTCACATCATTATATTTACTAAGAATGCAAATGGATCTATTACATAAATCTAAAAAGATATAGTTATGTATTGTATAAGTCAATTAATTGTAATCAATTAAATTTATAACAATAAAATGATACCCAATATATATATAAAATTAATTAACTCATACGATATATTTATATAATTTTAATATTATTAATAGTATTAATTCCTTATTAAATATAGCAATACACCATATGAGCAACATAACTTAGTGTATGTATATAGAATATAATTGCATATCTTTTTACTTTTATGTGTAAACAGTAAGAAATTCATTTTAATTTCAAACAATTATTAAAATCCATTCATATATAATATACTTTAATATAATATTGATTTTAATTTATTCTATTAACATTTTAAATATTACTGTATTAGACTAAAATGATTGATAACATGAATTAGTAATCAATAACATTACATTATTATTTACAAAAATTATAAATTAACGTAATGTTTAAAAATTAGATATTTCATTTAGATATTTGAAGTATTTATAATTTTTTTATTTTATAATTAATATATTTTTTAATTATATTATTATTAAAATATTTATGACAAAACAATTTCTATTAAGAATAACTTGAATACAACTTTATGTTTTATAATACGTATCTTTATAAAATACTGTATATCGAACCAGTGATTTAAGTAAAATCTATAAGCATGACTTTAAAAATTTTTAAGCATTAAAAAATTGAGCCTAAAACCATTGGTATAATAATTGCATTTACAGTTGTGTAATGCTTTACTAAATAATATTTCATTTAAAAAATTAAACTGTTATTTATTTCAAATAAAAAATTTTCAGTTCTGAAAAATTATTCACTTAGTTTGAATAAGCTATTACAAATTATACAAAAATCATTCTCATGTTATTTTTAGTAATAAAAAAACTAAAGTAATTATTTTATTGAACGTATGAAATTTTAATAATTGTCTGATTTTATATTTCACAACTCCAATTATATTAGAATAAGTTATATACATTTTATTAACCCAATAATGAATTCTTATAACTCATTCTTTGTGTATATCAATTTTCATTATTATTAATAAATATTTTTCAAATAAGTGTATTATTTATTTTATTTTCCTATTCTTATAATTTTTCTGTAATTCTGAAACTTATAAAATATTTAATTTTAATTATAAATATTCATGAGACATGTTTAAATTAATTGAGAAAGATTTTACCAAGTGATTTTATTTCATTCCTCATTATATTTGATTAGTAAAATAAATATAAAGAAATGATATGTCTGAGAAAAAGTTTCATAATTAAATAAAGAATCTCCACAGTACCTAATTGATTTATAGAAATATTAAAATAAGTGATTATCTAAGAACAAATTCTATATAAAATTACATATGAAAATTAATCTCAAGGAATTAGAATCTATTTGATTGATACAAGAAAATTGCCTATATTGGTTTATAAATGAATTTTCTCATTCAGCATCAAATTGTATGGATCAATTGAAAGCATAAGCCCTCAAAAGAATAAAACAAATATAGCATTCAATATAGCAAAAAGTATTTCGAACAGGAAAAGTATAATAATACATAGAATTTTGATATTCTATATTCATTACGAAATTAAGCATATTGAGCGTATCTTTAAATTTAAATTGTAGTGTTTATATAGAAATCTAACCCTTAAATGTGTGTTATGTTTAATATAAAATTCTTGATCATTTCATGACTCCTTTAATTTTAATAGCATTTATAAATTTGAATAATTATTAATAGTTTAAATCCAGTTATTCTAGTTTTCGTTTATACAACACTTTAAGGATAAAACTTTAAGGAAATAGAATTTTGACAATGTACAGCACCTATTTGGGTCATGTGCATTGGATATTTAAATTAGCTCTCATTGCCATGATAATATAAGATATAAACTTTCGCATATGCATAATAACCATATATCATCAAATATACATGTATAAAGAAGCAAATATGTTAAGAAAAACATTCTTAATCAATATAAAAACTTAATTAAATATATTTTATCATAAATAAAATATTAATTACATTAGAATTTTAATAACAAATATGAAAACACATGAAATTACGAAATATATTAAAATAATTTAATTTTCATATAAAGATATATAAAATTTAGACATGAAATAAAATATTCTAAATTCGATTTTATTCATAAATGAAAAATTATATTCTTTGTTATTAGCATTTATTTAAATACCATATATTCCCCTACGTTAGGGGGACCATCCTATCTACGTTTTCGGTAACTGTTATTGCTTATGCATATATAAAATGAAAAGTATAATTAATTCTATTTAATTTCTGCCATTTTATAATATATTTATTATTACTCCAACCTTAATAAGCATATTATAATCGTGTAATGTTCAGTTGTATTTATTTTATCTTTTATTTTTTATTTATTCATTCTATACAAAGTATTGATAATTAAAAAATTGCTGTTTCAAATAAAAATTTTAATTTAATTGCTTTTGGTGCCTATAAGATCCCCCTCCCAGAAAATGTTTATGTACCATTCAAATAAATAATATACTTGAATTACTTAAATTGAATTCAATTTCAGAATTTGCGTCTTAAATTGCTGTAAAAAAGCGTTTGTGTTATAATATAAGTTAAAAAATAAGTGCACAGTGTTATAAATATGCAATTTACTTATAGATATATTTTTATTTTATAATCATATAATAGTGTCTTAAAATTAAAAAAAAAAAATCATAAGATGATGTAAATATATAAAGACATAAATAAAACGAAGTTCGCTTTTCTGAATCAATTAATAAATGTAATACATCTTGACGTGCAACTAGAATTAGCATAACAAAAAATTTAGAATAGAGCAGTATTGTACTTATTAAAAACTAAATAGCATATACTATGTTTAGTTAAAATAAAGAATTAAACCCAAATGGTAAAGTAAAATAGTTATTTACTTTATTTATTATGTAATGTTGAATGTTACAAATAATGGTAGACTTGTAAGAAAATATACAATAACATACAGTATACGTAGTATGTTAAAAACATAATCAGTGTAATGTTTATCAGATATGTACATATAATGCCATGCCAAAAATAAGTGCCTTCACTTAATTTTCAACTCTCGTGTTAATTTACGTTATTCGATGGTCTATATTTTATGGATCTCATTCAAATTGTTCTTTTATCCAAAAATCATTCTTACAAATTTCAAATGTTTCTGTAATATGATAACCAAAAATAAGAAATCTTATTGACTATGCTTATTAACTGTAATAAATACACTTCCTGAAATTTGCATAATTTTAATTCATAATTTGCATAATTTAATCAATGAATAAATAAAAATAACCAATATTGTATTAATCATAACCAATACATTAATAACCAGGTATTAAACTTATTTAAGCATAATAAATGAATTTTTAAATTAAAGCAATGATCGGGGTCGTGATAATAAATATATCGATTCAATAAAAATTATCATTAAAATGAACGTAAATATGTTAGACTATTTTTTATATATAACAAAAATATATTTTATAAGAAACAATTGATTTGCATCATTTTTAATGAACATTAAAGTACTTTATAAATCAGTAATATATCATAAAAAAAGTAACTCAAGAATATTTTTGACTTTAGTAAATTTGTAAACTTTTAATTATTGCATTAATTTTAATTATATAAACTCTTATATAACATTGTAATCAAGTTATTTATTATAAGTACTCTAATGCATTGCCCTGCTTAATTCTAAGTTGAACATGGTTGTACAACACTTAATATGCAATAAAACAGAATTTAATATTGAAACCAAAATTGTCAAAAGCTAATAATTAAATTTATTTATAAAAATTATTATTAATGAAATTAATTTTTTATTTAGTATAATTATATATAATATGTCAACTATAATGTTCTTATAGAATAAATTGTATACTTACATTTCATCACATTTGTGATTAAAAATATGTATATTATAAAACTCATTATTTCTTGTAAATTACTCATGTATTATTATTAGCCGTCATAAAAACTGAAAGGAAATCTAACTAGTATGAGGTTGAGAGTTATGATTGAGATTATTTATATGCTGATAACCTTTTTTTTTATTAGGAAGAAAAATAGAAACTTTTTTGACTTTCATATATTTGACAAAACAAGTTATTAATAATTAGCGGTTGAACCCTTAGAAAAGATATTTGTGTATCGATATAAAACAAATCAATCTATTTGAAAGATTAAGTAATGGTGAATATGGATCAGTTTATCGTTCAAGTTCTTTAAATAAATTGTATTACTAATCTAGAAAATTACCTCCATTAGTGTTATGTTTATATACATATAAGTATGACACCATTATTTTTTGTATATAGCATTGGATTTGGAGCATTTATATTGGTATAGTTATTCAATCACTAGATACTTTACAATTAAGAAAGTATTATATTTTTATAGTTAAAGAATTGTATTTTCTGTAATACGATATCTAATATATATCATAACTATTGACACCATTATATAATATTTTTAGCATTTTATTGCACAAATGAAATTATATGTGCTATGCAATATTCGATATAAATATTAGAACAAAAGTAGAATTTTACGAAATAATTTTAATATAAACACATTATGTTTATATGTGATGTAGTACAATTCAAAATAAAGACTAATTAAATATATAAACAATTAAAAATACAAATTATAAATAGTAGTTTTAAAAAATCTTAGAATTCATTTACTGTATTATTGGTAAAATTTTAGTGATAAGTGATCACACGTCAAAAAGGAGTGAGGTCCTCTACCATTGCACCATCACAATTAACTATATCTGCAAATGTGGATATAAAATATCGATTTTACTTCATAATGGTCTATGGCTATGGATAGTTAATACTCAAATAATATGACAAATTACACTGATGTTCAGACAGATATTTTAATATTCTCCTTTGCATATGCCGCCCTCTCATATCGGTTTTGTATACTAATTTCATGAATTGTACAACAAACTGCCTAGAAACTTTAAAGAAATATTTTATGTAATATTTAGTCTAAGATTTTAAAGAGTAAAAATGATAATTTTTGAAAAATTAGAAAATATTAATGTATTTAAGAACATTTTTAGTAGTATATATTTATATATATATAATTTATAAAAATATTTCATTTATATTTTATTTTTGAGATATTAAAGTACATATTTTTATAGTTCAATACTTCTAATGAGAATGTATGAAGATATAAATCAATTAGTTTACAAGTGTATAAAATGCTGATTATAATATAAAATTTCAAAGTTGCCATGAGAAATAAAATAAGAAAAATGAATAATTAAGAAAATATAAGAAATAAAACGCATAACAAATAACTACGAATAATTAGATTTATTAATGTTTATTAATAAACATCTTATAGAGATTATTGAAATTTATTATAATTTATATCAATTGCAATTATAGTTCATTATTATTTACACTAATTTGTATAAAATATGAATTCGAGATTATATACCACCACTATTTTTTATATTAATTGTCATTTATTAATGCTTGTACTCAGGAAAATGCAGAGGATTTAGTAAGGTAGTATTTTCGTTATCACTAGCATTATTGATGTTCAATCCTTTTAAAGAGCCATTATTTATGTTACAATCTAAACTGTAGTTATCATCTAGTGTGCATGATTTAATTTTAGATATATGATTTATATCGATTCCAGGAATATTTGAAATATTTTCTCGTCTCTGCAGTTGAGTATTAATGGTTTCGTCACTACTAAGACCATTATTTTCAGTATGGGGCGGAGATGGATAATAGCCGCGATGTTTTATAGACAATGGATCAGTGCGCATTTGTTGATGAGATGGTATCATAGATCCAGATGTTGATCCGAGAGATGGTGGCTGCTGTGGTGCACGATGTTGAACTCTTTCTTCACTCGTCCACCGGGCTAATGGTTGTTGAGCTTGAATAAATGCATCACTAGAAAATAACAAGATTATACGAACCTAACAGTACACACAATAATCACTACATATGTACATTTTTGTAATTAATTACATTTCGTTTTAAAAACGGATTCACAATTAGAAGTTTTTATTATCTATAGAGAAACCTGTATTTTTACATTTAAATTAAGATTATGCAATAATGTTAATAAATCCTATGGTACAACACATTAGCAGTTACTATTTATACTAGTATTTAATTTTATTATCTACGTTAACAATACGAAATGATCTTAAACATTATCAAAAATATATCATTTTTAAGACATTTTAAGAATGTATTAAAATATATTTAAAATACATATTTATATTAAATATTCATTTAAGATAAAGCAAATCTTTCTTTAAATTTTTAATACAGTATTCTTAATCTAATTGAAGGATAATTTCAGCGAGCCTTTCATTTTTAAACAAAGAACAATTTATTTTATTGTTTATAATTATCAATATCCACAATATTTATATAATACTTTGGCGGAAATGTGTATTTTAATATTTCTTAATGTTTCTTGATACATATTATAATAAGGTTATATTTGTATATAAAATTGAATTAGATAAAGATATAATTTAGTGAACTGTGTTTCTATATTAATAATTTCTTTGGACTAACTTCAAAATATATATTTTTCCACATTGAAAAAGAATAAATATTAATCAATAGAATTTTCTTAATAATGAATAAACCATTTAAGTAATTAAAAATCAATATATTAATATATTAGTAACAATAAGGTCCGTGACTTGATTTTAAATAACAAACTTAAATACGATGTTAATGTACACGTATATTTAAATGCAATTTCTAAGTAACTAACAATACTAAAAGAATGTTGATTTGAATAAAAAAATGATATTTTTAAAAATTAAAGTTCGTTTTCAAAATTTATACCTTTTAGAAAATCATTAAGTTTATAGATCAATAATTAAAAATAAATCCAAATTTTTTCTTGTTATCCGTTAATTGATTTTATAATTGATTTTGAAGGAATATTTTGATTTGTGACAATACATTTATTTTATAAACTTTTATCATATCAAATAAAATATATATAAATATTATTTTTTTATGTTACAAAATCATAAAATTTAATCATATTGATTATCATACACAAAATATAAATAAAACTATTTAAATAAATCTAAAAAATTAATGAATTCACGAAATTTATAATTATATATATATATATATAAATTTATTTATCGATAGTTCTTTATAAAAATGTAATGTTAACATTTTGTTGGATTATTTTTGTTGTGCGATTTTATTAAATTTATCTTTATTAATAATTGATAAAGTAACTTATTTTTAAAAATTTACTCTTTGTAACAGTTTAATATAATAAATTATATATAATATACTAATTTTTTCTAACTAACTTCATAATTGAAAAATTTATTTTATTTTGTAGTAATTATATCAAATTTACTTTTAAAATTTTAGTATGTAAATATTTCATTTTTATAATAAAGCAAAAGCCTAGATGAAGATCGCGATACAATAAGTTATAATTTTTTACAATACTATAATTTATTTTATATTGAACGCAATATGTTTCTTAAATATATTATATTTTTTTTAATAATATAACTGTTTAATGAACATACTATGTAAAAATAAATCAGATTCACTCAAGCTATAATTGGTTAAAACTTATGCTTCTTTAAATGATTATTAGGTAATAAACCTGATTGCGAATCCATTCAATTAGATATAGTTTATCCAAAATATTACAAAATTTATATGAAATATCGCATAAGTTTAAAGTAATACAAAATATGAAAGAATGACTTCAAAGTATGTTTATAGTATTTAAATATATATCATTTTATAAACTTGATCAAACTATTACAGTATTAGATTATAATATTCCAACAAACATGTATATCATCTCTGCAAAAAGAAATAATTTTGTATAGTGACACATGACATATATATTTTGTTTATCTTTACTATTGACGTCATTATTTACAGTTTAGTTTAACAAAAGCAAATAAGCACACTAACTTGTATATGATACCTTTCACTATCTGGGGTTTCACCCCGTGGATGTGAGCCCCTATCAGGGTCAGCAGTTTCATAAATTCCTTCTTCTTCATGTAACTTTGAGGTATGTTGATGAGATCTGAAAGGACTTCGTGTTGTTGGTTGTCGATATCTTCCATAAACAAATCTAGTATCATCATCTCGATTGCGACTACATCGTCTGCTTCTACAAAAAGGCAAACTAAATTATTATAAATAAAAAAAACTTAAGTTAAAATTTAATGTCACTATAGAATTAAAAAATCATATACAATTGTTTTTGATTTAAATTATTATTAATTATTTGTTAAAAAAGCTTAAATTAAATCAATATATATGGAAGTTTATAATTAATTTATTTGCTGATCATTTCAAACTATTTAAACATGACTCATAATCAGTGATAAAGATTAATAAATTAATAATGGTAAATATCGAAAGTATTTTAACTGCTTCATTTGAAATACAATACAAACTTTTTTCACTATCAATATTTAGATTTATATATCTTTCTTAATCTTATTTAGATAATTATTTCAAGAGTATAAACTATGCAGCTTAATCACTAGATGAAATTATATAATTATATCATTATATTAATCTTTAATTTTCTTTAAGTCAGTTAAATCATAATAATTTATAAAATAGAATGTTAAGCATAAAATTATCAGTTTCGTTAAAAGAGGTACTATTTGTCAACAATTAATGCTAAATCATTTTGTTATACTGAGTATATATTTCAAGTAGTATATACTTTATAAGATATAAAAATGTAAGATTTATTATTTAAATCAGATTTATTAAATCAGATAAATTTGTAAAAAAGTATTTATTATAACTGTAGAAAACTGTTAAAATGTGAACATTTTCTCATTAGTTTTGAAATATGTTATTCATTATAAAGATATTGTCACATTACATAAACAACTTTGCTCTTCTAAAAGGAATGTAACTAACAATTTACTGCTTCTAAATATTTAATAAATTATTACAATATTTATTATATATCAAATGTTTGCAAGAAAAATATAATGAAAATTAATTTATTGAATAATTACAAACTTTTGAAAAATAAAAGTATTCGATTGCGAAAAAATTTGTTATAGACTGAATTAAAAGAATAAAAATAAGGCTCCTTAGTAAACGGGATGGAATATGAATCATAGAGAAAAATAATATAGGGCCATGCAATTGCAACATGAGTTATACAAATGTAGACCAAATAAAAAAAAAGATAGGAAATAGAAAAGATTAATAATATACCAGTTTTTAAAGTGAATTATATTTAATGAAATAAGAACAAGTAAGATAATATCGATTCTTCGCTATGTAAATTATATATTATATATTATATATATTATAAGAACTATATTAAAAGTATTAATACACCTAACTGTTAGCTTCAATTAAACGATCATAATATACTTAGAAGCTTTAATACTCTTCTTGAATTATGATGAAATTATTAAAACTACACAAAATAGTTATACAATTCTGAGAAGGTCCTTGTTAAGAATATGATAAAATTACATTAAAAAATAATTTAAAAAAGAAATGATTTTTTATATAATGTTATATACATAGATTAATACATAAAAATGAATGTAAACACCTTAAAAATGTTATTAACCTATTAAAATAAATCACGAAACAAAGTATATTATAGAAGAAATGAATTGTTCAATATTTATATTATGTACGTATAACTAAATGTATAAATTAATTAATAAAATTAACAGTTTTTTATATCTACATTAATTTATTGATAAGATATATTAAACTGTAAACAGCTGTATAATGTATAAAAAGAATATTTTAAAAATATTAAATAAATACTTACCCCTGAGAGGATTCGCTACATATTGAAGAATCCATTCTGTAATGGCGATCGATTTCATTCTCTGAAATACGTATATCTTCTGAATCAACAGGGCTCATGTGACGTGTTGAATGATGCTCTAATTGTCGAATAATATCCTCAAGTGTACGAATACGTATCGTGCCACATGTTGGTGGAATATCTTCATCATCCTCATCATCTCGATTTTCAATATTATCTTGGCAATCTGTTTCCTTTCTGTAAGAATTATCAGTATATCCATGTTCTGATAAAGATTTATGAATGACTTCATCATTGAGAAGATTAGTACTTCCGGATGGCGTGCTAGCTAATCCACGATGAGCGTTTCTCAATGCTTCCAGTATGTCGTCATGATAGCCATTCAAGCTATTAAGGGTTCGCTCTACATCCGACATAGGTGCTCCTCCAGCAATACCTTAGTACAAAGTTAAAAACTTAAATGTTTGAACTGTATAGCTCTTACCTTCTGTTTGTTTGAGTTAATATAAGTGTTTAAATTATTCTATCAATTAATATTCCATATGAGAATAATATAATTGATTACAAACACAAATTCTACTTTATTATTAACCTGAATATTTTTCTATAACAAATAGTGGAAATATTCAACTTTAAATGAAAAAATTAATTAGATAAATTTTCGTAAATTTTTAAAGTTTTAAAAAATTATATGCTCCTATATATATATTATAAACTTATTTTCAATAAAAATAATTCGAACATTAATATTAATATAAAATGTATACATAATTATAATAAACATTTAGTGATTATTTACAGAAATAAAAATTTTTATTGAATATATTGGTCAATTAAAATTTCATTTCAAAAACATAAGAATATTAGTTATATTATGTATTAATAATGAAACATAATTCTAAAAATTGAAGTTATAAATCAATGAAAAATATGTTTCCTAGAATTTCATGCTTAGCTCAGTACTTGAAAAAAATTAAAAGAATTAGATTAAATTATTTTTATAGATAAAATTAGATTTTTTTTCAATATAATGTGTAATTTATTAGTTTAAAATATTGATTTTTACTTTGAAGCATCTAACCGGAATATATATGTATATATATTATTATATATTATATATTATAATTATATTATATAATAATTATATAAATATTATATATATATATAATAATATATATTTCATTTAATATATATGAAGTAATTAGTTAAAAGTAAAATATATATTGAATTTATTTAAATGTACTTGAGTTATTTTTATAAGTATAAAAATTCCAAGTAATATAAATTAATTTTAATACTAAATCTAATATTATTCCAGTATTAATATTCGAAACATAGCCTTTATTTTTTAAATGAAGCTGTATAATTGATATACCTTATGCAATTTACATTATTGTATGATCAATAAAATTCCTTTTGTATATTACAATAATATTTGGTACATTACAATACCGTAACCACCATGTTTCTTTAAAATGCCCTTCTCAGGTAACTTTGTCAGACTGTTTGGTGGCAGATCAATGAAAGAGACAGCTTCTTCAGTCCCTGTACCGCCATCTTCTTCATCAAGTCCTAATCTTCTTCTTTGTGGCTTTTGATCTCTAGGAAATGATTTAGTTATTATATATTGCATATCATGATCATAAGAAAATATTTGCATAAGTAGATATTATATCTTAAACATTATTTATATGATAATATTAAAATAATTTGATAAATGTAATAAATGGCAGTTAATACAATTATATTAAATTATCATAAACATATTTATTGTTGTAAAATAATTAAACTTGTAACGTTTTATGTTTTTTTTATTAATATTGATATTAATAAAATAATAACATAGTTGATTATTTTTTAAATTATACTGTTTATTCTCTTTTGCACTTAATGTACACAAGATGTGAGTACTGTGAAAAACAAAAATATGAGAAAAAATATAGTTAATATAAAGGTAAAGAGTATATGTATACATATTGTAGATTAGTATTTAATTTCTTTTCAAATAATACAAATTTGAAATATTAAAAAAAATATCATTTAATATATATGAAGTAATTAGTAAAAAGTAAAATATATATTGAATTTATTTAAATGTACTTGAGTTATTTTTATAAGTATAAAAATTCCAAGTAATACAAATTAATTTTAACATTAAATCTAATATTACTCCAGTATTAATATTCGAAATATAGTCTTTATTTTTTAAATGAAGCTTTATAATTAATATACCTATATATACATATACATATATTAAATAATTAACACTTCATTTCTTTACTTGAAAAAAGTGAATTTCTACACAATCTATGGCATTATAATTAAAATTTTTTAGTTGTTTCAAGCAAGATACTATACAGAATAAAAAGAATATTTTATTCTATAAAATAAGCTATATATTTGTTATTACTTATTAACTTAATAATAATTTCGATTAGAATTTAAAACAAAATAATCAAAATGATATTGAATATTTTAAGATGTAATAAAAGTATTGAATTAAATCAATACTTTTTTTAGTTATATAATAATTTCTAATAATGTTCTTCATTTCCAAAGTATTAAGAACATTTTTAATAATAATAAATAATAAAAAAAAATAAAAATATATTTATTTTATATAAATTTAAAAATAATTTACTCCAACTGTTTATTAATCTTTTATTTATATTAATTACTCTTTATTTATAAAAAATATTTAATATTTCATAAAACATATCTTCAATTTTCAGAGTAATGTGATTTACCTAATGTCATTCGTTTGTTTGTATAAAAAAATACATCTTACATTATGGTACAACATGAGGTATCATGATACAAAATTAATTATTTAAGAATAAATTCTGTACATGTATTAAATTTGTTTAAAATACAGTAAAATTGAGTGATGTTTTATTAATATTGGTATATGCAGTATTAATATAAATTTTAGGTACATAGAAAATTAGTTACACTGTAGAAAAAAGGCAAAATTGAAAGCCTCCATTAATCTTTCAATATGAAAAGAATTAATTGTTAATGTTCAGAAAGGGTATCGTTTACATTACACTAATAAAGCTGATGTCAATTTTACTGTGTAATATCAATGCGGTGAATCTTGACGATTAGCAAAAGTAAATGCGAGATCGGAAATTTATAAATTGGTTAACATAAGCATGTTCACGAAAAAAAAACATTTTACACATTTGAATAAAATTAAAAGAAATATATATAAGAATATATATAAGAAAATGAAATAACAATAATATGAAGTTAATAAAAATTACAATTTTATAATAAAATAGAAAAAAGTAAATATTATTTTATAATACATAAGTTACGTTTATGAAATATTAAATATTACTTACTAATAAAATATTTTATTAAAAATGAAAATAATTATAGTATTGATAATTCTATAAATAACATAACAGTGACAAATATATATTTATTTTTCCTGAAATTTCACATATGAAATATAAAAAAGAACAAATATATAAACATAAAATATAAATTAATTTGCACATGTATTAATAATTGAGTATTTAATATTGTATTTATTCAAGATAATAGACGAATTAATAATATTAATAAATAATCATTCGTGCAAAATATAATACTACACTAAATAGAACATTTTTGTAAGCATACCTATAGTGTGGCATTGTCCCAAATTTAAGAATTTTATGCACACTGTCTAAGACTGCAATTTCTGGATTTTGAGCATTACCAGATCCACCACAGCTCTTTTGTACTGGCTTCTTTGAGTATGGTGGATCGAATTTTTGAAGTGTATTCTTCTTTCTACAAAATTCATGTCATAACCAATAAATCAAAATATTTATGTATGAAGATAATTATTTATATTACAGGACAATGAATTCTACATATGATAATAGATTGATTTATCTGCAAAGTATAAAATTTACTTAGTTTATAAGAATACAAAAATGTTTACAAAATGAAAAATATATTATATAATTTAAGCGATTAAATTATTTGTTCATAACCTGTATTTGCATGCATCAAAATAAATAAATTTAGATATATTGGAAAAGCTTAATAGTTTTAAATAAAATTTTCTACTTGAATCCAATTATCTACTATATTATCAACTAAATATAATGATAAAAAATAACAAATATGGAATAAAATAGAAATTTATCTACATATATATTCTAAAAATAATTCTACTTGTAATCGTATTTTGTAATTGTATTTTTACTTCTAGAGATTTAAATTAAATTTATATCAATTTTAAAATTACTATTAAGGTAATATATAATATATAAATTATTTTAAATCTGGTTTGAACAGATATTGCGCTGATAACGAGACAATACAGGTTTGTAATATTAGAAATTTTTTTAAAAATCTATGAAAATAAAGTGATAATGGCTGATATAGTTTGTTTAATACTAGTACAAGGGAAAATATAAGTAATATATTTTTATTCGCTTTTTAAAAATATGTATAGTATTTATAAACTATTAATATTGTTTGAAGTTTATTCAATATTATAAAACAATATATTAGATAATATGGATTATAATTTTTATTAATTTGTTATTAAAATTATATATAAATTTATCTGCCTCCAAAATAATATTTATATATTTCAAAATAAAGAGTTAAATTTATAATTCCACTGTCATAGAAAATATAAAAACTGGCATTCTTAAAATGTTTAAAGTATTTTAAATGATAAATATAGAAGTAAAAAATTGCAGATTCTATAATACGATCCATCTTATTTTATTTTATGTAGGCTGTTTAATTTTATGAAAAATCTTTAACCGTGTTTAATTACATAATAAGATTATATGATTACCACTTTGAATTGAAAATTATATAAACATAATAAATGACAGTATGTTTAAGAATATAAACATATTTTCTACGCTTTCAAGAAACGTCTCAATGACTGCAAATATGGTGCACATCATATTTCATTTATTACTAACATGTTGAAATGTTCTTTAAGATATATCTAAATACATATACTTACTATAAAAATCGTTGTAAAAGAAAATATCTAAATACATTGTATAAAACGTATATGGTAATTTTATTTTAATTCCATAATTTATATTCATTTTCCTAAATATATAATGCATATTTCATTGTAAATTATTTTCATTTTTAATTGCTACTAGTGGTTTCTCCATGTTTAATACATTATAACAAACATTTTAATGTATATCACACATATATTATTATTAAGAAGTACGTCAACACGTAAATGTGGAATTAACAAGAGAGTAAGTATGATATAAAAAGTTTACCAATTTTTTATTTAATTAAATAATTGTATAAAGGTACATGAATAAGAATAAGATAGCAAAGTAGAGTTTTGTAAAAGCAAAAAAATTAATCAAAAGAAATGAAAGTGATGCAGGAATATCATATCATCATTTAAAAAATCTCTTTTTACTCAAATGCAATGGTTATGCTTGGTTTCATTCCTTCTGTATATTTAATAAGTTTCAACGATAATGCTGCTGTTGGTGTTTTTGAAGTCTTTTATTATTGATTTCGACAATTTCTGTTAAGGCGTTTAGTTGGAGTAATGTTCTTTATTTTATTTTGTTGAAGTAAATCTCTTATTTGTTATTTCTTTGTATAGATAAGAAACTTCACTACTCTAATTTCTTTAAAGATAGTCTTGCTTTGCTATCGTATATAAATCATGTCCGTTTTCTTTACTTATCTCTCTTGTTTACTTTCATTTTATTAACTATTTTTATTTACTTTGTTTTGACTATATTTTTACAATATTATTCTTAATTTTTGATTGTTTAATTTTAGGGTTTCTTATAAATTTCTATTTAATAAAAAAAGCCAAGATTACTTAATATTTTTTCTTCTTTGGCTATCGATTAAATTTTGTTTATCATGTCAATATATTATTTTATTTCATTTTTTCACACCTTTTACATGTCTTTAAATTTTGAGGAATTTTTTATTTTTTATATAAATTATTTATTTTTAAAATCTTTTTAAATTTCAATATATCTTTTCAACATCATCTGTTTATTGGAAATATAAGGCAAGAAAATCGAGTAAAAATATAATTTTAGGACTCTTATGGTTTTTACAAAAATGATTTGATTACTTTTTTACTTGTATTCTTTAAAAAAAATTGAGAATAAATTAGACATCATTTATTTTTAATTCTATTTTAATCAAGTTTTCATTCACTATTATGATCGCTGTTTTAAATTTAGTAGATAAATATAAATATAAATTGATATCAATTGCTCAATGGTAACACGATTCATAAGTTTCAATATTATCTTATGTTGAAAGCGAATTGAATAATTAAGATCATGTAAATATAACGACAAATAAATTCGAATTGTAAAATCATTTATTTAATAGTATATATTTATATTTTAAGTTATTAATCAGTCAATAATATTAAAATCTTAAATTTACTATTCGCAGAATTCGGATAAAATAAAATTAAATAGAATTTAAAACAGAACAAAAAAATAGAATAAGAATGAGATATGTTAAAATATTAAATAGTATGAAAAATATAAAATAAATAAAAATAATAATGAAAAGAACAAAATATAATAGTAAAAAGGAAAGAATGAAAATGATATACACATAAAATATGGGGAAAAATCTGATAAGCACAAGAATTTCATTATTCTTTAATGCTTATGTAAAAATATATGTAATATTATATATGCATACTATTATATGTATATGCATATATGCACACATATATACATAATATTATATATATGCATATATATATGCAAAAATTATAGTTAAGCAATATTAATACGTTTCAAACAATATCTGAATCGCTATTTCTATATAATGTACATAGTATAATCAGTTTCTAAAAGATTCGCTGATGAATGCTATGGTAAAACTTTTATAAAACATATAAAATTATTCTATAATATTTCCCAAAGTTATAAATAATTTGTCATGATAATTTATTATTATATATTACATTAGTCATTCTAATTTAATTTCGCAATTAAATAATTAATAAACTCAGATACTTTCAGTTATCCTTTTTTCTAAGATTAAATTTGAAGTAACTGTATTTAGATAAACGAACGAACAATAACTCAGTGATTGCCTTTGCCATGGCATATGGCATCTCCGTTTCGCAATCTTTGTCTTACCTTTTTACATCCGGTCATCTTGAATGTTTAATAACTCGCTCTTTCATTATTTTGATTTACTTTACTATCATAATATATGAATTGGAAGAAACTGCAAAATTAGTTTTGGTTAAGCAATAATTGTTAGAACAATTATCATAATCATATGATTTATTAAAACTAAATAATTGGGATTTTTGGGAAAATTAAAAAAATGATGGTCGTTTGAAATAACATTATTCATATTGAGTAGATTATATCTATTATTAAAATAAAAATATTATTTTATTTTATATTTTTTCAGAAAAATATTATGTAATGTTCATTGTAATATAATAATATATTACATATAGATTGAATAAATAATTCGTTTAAAAACATGAAGTATTTTAAAACGAAGTATAAAACATAAAAAACATTTACTTTGGTGTATTTTTCGAATTCTTATAACAATGAAGAGTATAAATTTATATTAAATTTTAGTATTTTTACTAGCTTATTCTTTTTACATTATGGATAACAATAATTATATAGCAGTTTCAGATAGTCTTATTATGCAAAATATATCAAAAATAAAAAAATGTTTATTATCCAGATACAAAACATAAATTATAATTAATCAATTGATAAATTAAATTCATAATACATTGCAGAAGTGATACACAAAAATTAATATTAAATATATATATATTTATAATATATGCATAATTTGTATTATTTCAACACTGTAATTTTTATTACAGTGTACACTACATTGTTGAAAATAATAGTAATTAAAATCTATCAATTGTGATAATAATTATAAGTATATACATTATCTTAATTATAATGAGATCTAAGATCTGTATGTTATATTTTTATTACTTTAATTGAAATTAATAAAATAAAAAACATATAATAGGAGAAAATAGCTGATTAGAAAAAGCATCAAGCAATATAAAGGATATTAAACAATAAGAGTAAAATGAAGGCAAATATATGAAATGATCAATAAACTAAAAGTATTGAATGACACAGAAAGAAGTTCTACGAGTATGTTTCTGCACACTAACCTGAGACAGAGGGAGAAGTTTTTATGTACTACGACTGACCTGTAGCAGAGAGCCATCATTGCAAATACTACGAAAACACCCCCTACCACCGACATGAGAGTAATAACTAAATATACAGTGTTAGAGCCGTGGTAGTTCTCTGTATCCGAGAATAATGGGTAACAATATTTTATTAGTCACAATGAAGTAGTTCATGGTCGATATAGGGGAGTATATAGATGATATAGTTGTTTCCCACAGAATCCAGATAGACAAAGATGGTAGAGATAGATATAAACAGACAAAGAAACAGATGTCTTAATATAAACATTTTTAAAGTATACATAAATAAACTAATATTAATATTATTAATAAATGTTTAATGTAAGATAAAATATAATAATATCATATTATTATGCATAAGGCTGAATTTTATTTTTATATTTAAAAATACTACTATTACTACTACAACTACTACAACCACTACTACTCTGCTACTGATACTACCACTACCGCTACACTACCTGTACCATTACTATTACTACTACTACTAATAATAATAATAATAATAATAATAATAATATATTGTTATTACAAAATAGCTTATACACAATGATGTAATGATATAATATAATTTTAATTAAACTCTTCATTATAAAAAATGTAGTGTTATATTAGTATCAGAATAGTACTTCAGAAAAAGATGAAATAAAATTATTTTACAAAATAGTAGTTTCAATCGAAGGTATTTGACACTGTTGACACTTCTTTTTTAATTTTTAATAATTTATTTAGCAGTAGAATAATTCGTATCGTAAAATTGTATATCTTCACATTAAAACATAACTATTTTGTAAATTTTATAAAAAAAAAGATGGAATTAGTCTGTTTTTAATAATTAATAATGATAAAATTTGAAATAAAGTATAAAAATAAATGATTAGTAATGTATTTTTATTAAATACTTGTTTTTTATATAATTTATTCAGAATAAAAAAAATTGCAATAACATATTCTAGTATAACTTAAAAAAAATTGTTTCTGCACTTAGTTTCATTCAGTATGGAATATACAAAAAAAGTTATTAATCAAAATACTAAACACCGTTTGTAAAAATATAGCAAAGTACACTATCTTGTAGAATACGTTTCAGTAAACATGTTTCAATAATCAAAAAGCAATTAACTTATGCTGCTGAACTAGAATTTGTAGGTTTTCTAATAGTAATGTAAAATAGTTAATTAAAAAAATTAAATCATATTAAAGATATAAAACAAAACAAATTATATTTTAACCATAAAACATAAATTAATCAGAAACCCTAGGATCATATTTATCTATCCTTCATAGATGAATACATGTGCTATAAATAAACTCTGACACTTTTTCGTACAATAAACAATTTAAATTCACAGTTTTTAAAATAATTAAGTTAATTATAAAATTTAATAATTACTTATTTATAATAAACACGCACGAAATAAATTACAAATAATAAATCATTATATTTGTATCTTTTCTTTAAAACATCTTTATTTAAAAGTACAAAATAAGATAGCCGATTATTTGCTATTTAAATAATTTTTTATGAAGTCTAGATAACAATATTTTGAATACTATTACAAATATTTTAGTAACTTAATATGCTATTACTCAATCAGCAATAAATAAAGCGATCGGAGGAAAAACTGATTTTCTACTGAAGATTATGATTAAAGAATTTTAGTAAAAACGAAAAATAATATAGTAAAATGTTTTCGAAGATAAAAGAATAGTGTATCCAGTTCGATCGATATATGAAAAAAAATAATCGTAATGAAACTTATTTTAATTTGAAATATTTTTCAAACTATAAATGCTTTTTTACGTATTAAATTTTGAGTTTAATCATAATATTTTATATATTTAATTTAGTTCTCAACGAAAAATACGGGAAAAAACTTTATTTTAACGCTTCTGAATATTTTTTAGTGTTATTTATATTACTATTTTAAGTTTTACAAAGGATTTCGGAGTTTCATACTAGATGTAAAATCTACCTAATTAATGTCGATTGTAAATTATTAGACTTTTATGTACGTAATACTAAGGATAACGGTTCATTCAAGTAAAGCAATAATGAAATAAATTTGTGTTTAGGATAAAAACGGTGATTACATGGTATAATAAAGTAAAAGAATAATAATATATGCTACATTTAGATGGTATAACAATATATAGGACGTACATAATACATACAAAAAATTTAACATATCCTACAACTATACCGTTATCAAAGTGATTATACAATAAAAGTTTTCTATGATTAATGTATTTACAGTAAAGTTAATTTATGTTGAAACTTATGTAACTAAAACTCTCGAAAAACAGTTATATAAAATTAATATATCATAGTAATGAAGCTCTAAAAATCGAAGGTAAGACTAATACAAGTCAAAATAATCCTTAGATAGTTCTACAAAGGACATAGAATTTCATATTTATACTATTCTTTAGCGTCATAATAAAAGCATACGTGCAAATATGAAAACATGAATTTATTATTGGAAATGCAATTATTTTAAACTGAGAACATTTGAATTAAAAAAAGAATGATATAATATCTTTTTATTCTATATCAATTGAATACAAAATAAAAACTATTATCTAACAAATGTCGCCCGAATAAAGTTGTTTCGAAAGTGTTAAACAGTATAAAAGATATGATTGATATTTTATTTAGTTAAAAATTGAGTAATTAATATATCTAATTACAATTTATTTTCGATAACAATATTTTATTACGATGAAGTTAATGAGTAATGGTCAATTTAAAGAAATAAAAATTTATAAAAATATGACATATATTCTTAAAGATGCACTAAAATATGTCTTAATGTTTTAAAAAGATATAATCAAGTACATCGTAACAAAATTTAAAATGGTTTTAAAAATATGATTTTCGGAATAATTTTAGAAATAGAGAATTGCTATGGTCTACCTCAACTATTACAAGCATTTCTTAATAATCATCAATTTGCCTAATATACATTATTTAGTACTATATCGATATAAAAATTATATTTCATGGAATTAATGCCAAATCATTCTCACAACATCTCTACTACACAAACACAGATTTATACTCTATCTATCTACTTAAATGACTAAAATAAGTGTATAATGTCAATTATTTCAATATGTATTGGTTGCATCTAATAAAATATATTTTAATTACCATATGGAAAGTTTAATTTATTTTGCTGTACTTTTTAATATGATGAACGTTATTATACGCTGTCATTCTTTTGCGTACGCATTGACTTATTTGTATAACATTATTCATATTTGTATTCAACATTAAATAAAATAATTAAAATATTACCAGTCACACAATTTTTAATAACTTCTTAAAATCTTCGAAAATTTATCATTACAGTAATATATTATACACTATATTCTATACATTTTTGAAACGTGTACTCGTAGAAAATATTGTAGTAACTTTTAAATATAATATTGACATTTTTTATAATATTATACGATACATTTTTGACTATTTTTACTATTAGTATTTATATTCTATTGTTTCTATTGAAAGTCTTCAATGACTTTAATCAAATTAACTATATCGTTAATAACAAATTTTACAAAACAAAACCTTGGACCAAATCCTGTAATAGTTCTTACTTATATACTTTGGAATTACGCTTAGTCATTGCATAAGAATTCCGATTTCAGAAACTTCTTTATGGACAAAGTAATTAATATGTTAAAATATCAACAAGGCATAAAATAAATTTTATAATTAAAAAAATTATAAATGTAAGTATAGAATACATAAAAGTATCCAATTAAAAAAATATTAAAAAAAAAATGTGACTTTTAATACACAAAACTAATATTAAAAAAATAGATAAGAAGCGTTAATCAGTACACCGAATATTTATATGGGACTTACATTATCTTTATAAATAAATGATAGTTATTAAACTAAATTAAAATATGGTTGTTGTAAATAATAAGGATCTGAATTATTCACGTGAAATATCATAAATAATTATAATCCATTATTTTTATGGAGCTGTTATTTAAAAAAAATATTATCCATATAAATAATTTTAAGTTGTAATGAAGATTAATGAACATTACTAAAATAGAGTTAATAATTTAAAAATTAAGAAAACATTTTATTATAATATACATGATTTTCAATAAAAAAAAAATTATTAATAGTCAACATGTACAGAGAATAAATCAAAAGATCTATCACCTTAAGAAATTATAAAAATTAATCTAAATTATTATTAATTTAAATTAATAAAAATATTGCATAAAGAAATGAGTTTAATTTTCTTTTTAATGTTTCATTCGTGCGAACTCTAAAAATGTAGCCTAAAATTTAATATTTTAAATTACTTGAAAAATCTACCGTGAATGTATAAGAAAAATTAACGTTAAATTTATTATTGTTACCTTTAAATATGTAAAAAATTCTATTTATAGAATATAAAAATAATAGTGTTAATAAAAGTCATTAGGTTTAGAATTATAATACAAAAAGTATAATATCAGTTAATGGTAATAAAATTGTGCACTTGTATACTTCATTATAAAATTATTCAAATTTATGAATGAATAAAATATTTAGAATTAGAAATTCGTAACCTGAATTTAAATTTAAAATAATAAAAATCTGAATTATAAATTATATCTTGAAACTCTTAAAATGTTTTTCAAATTGATAATTTATCTTATACTTTTTATAATTCTAATATTTAAACATTTTAACTTCAAATTTAGTTTTTTTTGTATGAGTAATGTATGTAAAAAATATAGTATTATTATTATTTTTCTTTTTTTATTAATAGTATTAAACGACTTTAATTGTATTTTTAATAATACGCTAAACAAATAATCAAAATTTACTTGCCATAGGGGGTCTCTTTCTTCTCCATTTTATTTTTTGCTGAGGGTAATGAAGATATCTCTGTACTACTTATAATTGGCTCAATTGGTTGTTCTTGTTGCAAAGAACAATCTGTCCCACTCCAACCAAGATCACAGTGACATTTGTTAAGATTATTGCAGACCTATTTAAAATTTATTATTTAAATTTTCTTAGTACATTATTTTCTACTTAATAATAGAATTCTAAATTAAATTTAAATAAATAAATTAGTATTAATGGTGATAACTAAACTAAATAATGCAAGACAACAGAGCAACTGTTTAGATTAATAATAACAGTCGTTCTTTTCTTCAACACGAGCGAGGAAAAAAATGAAATACAATCAACAGCTTTATAGTCGCCAAATAGTACCAATTATTTAAGTTAGATACGTGTTATCATTAATAAACTGAACATTTTTTATTGGTACTTCAGTAGATACTCAATGTTGTAAGCGCTACAGCAGCATGCGGAACTAGATTTTTTAACATACTGTAAGTTAAATGATCTTTGTTAAGACAAAATCTTCGACAGTGTATAACTGCATAATTGCAGTATTGTTATAACATTACTATTAAAAAAAATTTAAGATATATATTTCAATAATTAATTTATATCATTATTCTATAAAATGTTATTTTAATTTAAAATAGCATTATTCAATAAGATTTAATTATTTTAATTCATAATAATTTATAAGTGCATATACTTACACCATGATTTGAACATTCATGGTTAATATGATTACTGGGGCATTTTCCTAAGTCTATATGTGGAAACTGATTACTGCAAGTTTGATTTATGCAAATCTGAAAAAAAATATATTAATATAATATCAATGTTTACATTTTTCTAAACATTTTATAAATTATTTGAAAAATTTTATTTATAAATGCTTTCATATAAAATATTTAATTCAAATAATGGCCAATCTTATAATAAAATAACGCTATCTTATATACTATACCATGTTTACATAATTATCCTAAGCTTTATACCGAAGTATCATTATATACATTTTTAATGTTTTGTAATAAAAATTGAACTTACAATAAAACATAATTATTTCATTTTCTTTCATAATAATTTTTAATAATCATAAACTCGTATTCAATGTTTTATTTTTCAATTAACATTGCGTCTCCTTTTTTTGTTGTGTTTGCTCATTTATGTTTGTATTGTTTTCATAATTTTAGTCTAATTTTCATATGATCTGAATCTGCTTTATTCAACAAACTTAGTAATTGGTGTATGTAGTTATACATGAATCTTCGTAATTGTATGAATAATATATAATCTAATTTCATAATATTAAATTTTTTTTATTGATAACATTTACTCAAACAAAATATACAAATATGTAAATTAAAAATTGATTTGCTTTATTATTTTATTTTCAAATTAGTTTGATACATTTATATCAAATTTTTCTATTTACGGTTATTTATTAGAAAATTATGCCAGAGATGAGTCCTATCATTTTTCCATATTTTTAGAAATTAATAAACTAAGGTTTTAAAGTTACAATTTAGATTTAAATATTTATGGAAATAAAATATATTAATAGATCAAATTGTATTTTAGTTGATTTGAGATACCGAAAATCGTTAACATCAACGTAAAAGATTGACTTAAAATAATAGATATGATACTTTTATTTTAAAGTATCTAAGATAGGTTACTTCTATTTCGTGATAATGAAACAAAATAAAATTATTATTTTTACAACTAAGTCGATGTATTTAATTTAGTCGATATTTTATGAGAAATTTAGAATGTAAAAACGACTAAATCTTTGGCAAATAGATATTTATAAAATTCAGATTACTAAATACCTGAATTGATATAAAGTTAAAACTTCAAAATACGTAAATGATTTATTTCCAAAAGGTAGAAGTTTGACACACGTCATAGATATGCATTTTATAAAAAATGGCACTATATATAATTGAAAGAGATAGACATATTATAATATACACGATAAGTATTAAAAAAAGGTGGTACAGCACTATACACAATAACTATATCTATGTTTACAAAGTCAAAAGAAAAGGCGGAGCACACTTTATTTCGTATATATTGGTATGGAAAATGTTAAATAAATTATTATTTTGTCTCTAAAACTTAATTACACTATATAACAGCTCTCTAAGTTAAAATAAGAAATAAAAAATACGCTTAATATAAAAAAGTAATTTTACCTTTTTCTTATAATTATATTATTACCTATACTTTCATTATAAGTAATTTGATAAATAACTATGATGAGTATTTAATTTAGAATATCAGTACAAAGGAAAGCCTCTGTCTTCCTGATAATAGTTAAGAATTTATATTTATATTTAAGCTAATAGTCATAATGAACTGTATGATTTAAAAAATTATATTAGAAGACTTGATATACAAATTTATAATTATATTTTAAATATACGTGATTTTTGTTAATTTTTTTAAAGCTTCTAGTTTATTGATGCATACAATATCATAAATTTATTAAAGGTTATAAAAAATAATTAATTATTCATTGAATAAAAATTCAAAAAGAATAGTTTTTAATATAATACTAGAAAATTTTATTTTCTTAGTAAAACATTAAAAATTTTTTTCTAATAAGAGATTTGAGCAATAATATAATCTTAAAGGTTAAATTATCATTTCTTACATTATAAAAGATTTAAAAGCGACATAACTTACTATAGAATTTTAAAATTTTTTTTATAAAATATATACATTTATTAAAATTCAATTATTATAATTTTTTCATAACTTGCCAAATTTTCTCCACATGGCGTACCGTCTCTAACTAATCCCATATTTGCAGTTGAGCCTTCTATTTCAGCTTCTTCCATCGTAGCTCTATAACAGAAAATGTATTAATTATAGTGTTAATAGTTTGTATATTCTTGTTTCTTGAATAGAATATTGTAATTATTTTAGCTTATCATTGATTTTAGTGTACAACAAATATTTTACTTATACTTTAATAGTAAAAGTATCAAATTTATAGATATTGGAATTTATATAAATTTTCAACTATAAAAATATTAATAAACTATTTTATTGTTTTACAAATTAATGCTCTATTTACAATTAGAAAACTTGTATGAACTTTTAATAATATTTTATTCTATGTTATAGAACCGTAACATGTTATTCATGGTATGTCGTTTTAATTTAACATGATTGATTTGAGAATCGAAAAGAAAAGAACAATATACAAATAAACTTAAAAGAAATAAATTATTATTTTAGCAATAACTGGAAGAAATTTTTCAATATCATTAAATTTAATTATTAAAATAACTACAAAAATTCATATTACAGAGTTATAAAAAAATGTCTGAACAAAAAAAGTCATTTCTACATATTGTTATTTAAAATTAAAAGAAATATCTACGTTGAAATATTTTTTGAAACTATTTATACCAATATAAGAAATAACATGGGACTTCAATAAGAAACTGAATGAAGAATATTAATTTGTTTAAGTACATTATCTATTACAATTTCAATCAGTGATTATTTGATAATTTTGATAAAACAACTTTTTATTATCTCGTGTAGAGCATCAAGGCAAAAATGTTATGCATATTTCTAAAAAAAAAAGGATCATAACTTCTAATTTAAAAATATTAGCTCATTCTGCTGAAATTCATATAAATATTATTGCATTTATAATAATAAAACTTACTTGCACTCATACTCTTTGCCTTTAATTGATATTATTGTTCTTGAATATAATGCATCTATACCATCTATTGCCGGCTGTTTACTTCCTTCTTGACATTGAAGAAGACCACAACGGACATTTCTAAAATACAATGATTTAATATTCAAAAGATGCTTGTTCAGAATGTTCTGCTAATAAATATACATTCTGGTTCATAAGTATATTACAATATCGAATCCTATAAACACATTACTTATTGATATTATATGATGTATCTAACAAACGCATAATGTGTTGCAATAGTAAGGTAAAATAATAGTGTGACGTAATGTAGGCAATACGATATGATATAATGTTGCAAATTTTTTATATGAAATCTTTCGATTAGTTTTTAGTGGATTCATTTCAAATTTATATGAATTAAATAATTTAATAAAATTTAATTTAAATATATTTTATGATAAAATGAATATAATTATGCTAAAAATATCTAATATAATTGAAACTTGAATTCACATGAATATGTTTAAACTTTATAATTATTTTATATCTATTCAAAATAGATCTTAATTGATATATAAATAAAAGCACTTTTTAAAAATAGTTTAATAAATAGAAAAAAACTTTTTAGAGAAAAAAACTTTTTTTTTAAGAAAGAAAAATGTTTAATACTAGTTATACAAATATATAGTATTTTAATGGTAAAATAATATTGATGACAATTTAAGTACATCATAGTTGATTGGCTAAATATTTAATATTAATATCTATCTATTAAAATGAAAGGTGTATGTTATGTATTATATTACATACTCTAATTCACATTTTATAAAATGACCAGAGGTATCAGTGCCACAATGTCCATTGATAGATCCTTTTGAATTGAATTGTTCAAAACATTGTTTATCCGCTGCTACACCTCCATAACCCCAAATTTGTTCACATTGTAGATTTATTGCAGGACAAATACCATTAAAGCAAAAGCCTTCACCACCAGCACAAGGATGTCCATTCTTTTTATAAACGTCTATAGGACAATGACCTACATCTCCAGTACACATTTCTGGTAGATCACATTCATTTGTTGTCTCTCGACAAATAAACCCTTTTGATTGTAACTAAAATATAATGTAAGATAAATGAGATATTCGGTTAAAATAATTAAAATATAATTTAATTACTTCTTTTATTATATAATTAATTAAATGTAATGTAAACATTTACATTCATACTGTTCATATTTTTATGAAAATATTAAATTCAGGTTTTGATGTTTTTTTCTTGTAATTGTTCGAAAAAAATGTGATTCAAAATTAAAATATTAAATATTATAAAAAATTTAATCTGTCATTAATTTATCTATTATCATGACTGTTATGATGACATGTTTTATTTGAATATTCATCAGCTTCATAACCCTTATATTTATTTTATTTATTTTATTCTTCTAATACCATAACATTCTTTTGCCAAATCTTGTATCTTTGAATTAAATGCAATTAAAAATATCTTCTATCAGATTGTATAAAATTAGTTACTTTACATTGTAAAAATAATTTCGAAAGTATTTCTAATATGAGAATTTCACATAGATATAAATTAAATAATGTAAATTTAAAAATTTTTTAATAATATACTTTGGCATATATATGCGTACTTGCATGTATTTGTGATATAATTTTGTTTTAACCGAATAAAATTAATTTATGATTTACTAATCCTGAATTTATTTACATTTTTTATTTTTTACATTTAATTATATATTTTATACTTTATTATATAACTATGTTATAATAAATTTAATATTGTTGGATTATAAATAGGTTATTCTGAATAATAATATTTATTACCACTATTACTAATTATGAATTACATATTTATATAAAAGAAATTTAAAAAGCTTAAACATATATGAATTAGTGAAAGTGAAATCAAAATAACAAGTGATATTTTAAATACTAAAAATTTTAATCACATTTTAGTTTTATATAACATCAAATTGTAATATAATTCACAGTAAAAATATTTCTTTTTCGCATAAATTTTTTTCCCTGCTTAATATTACTTTTTCCCTTAGTTTATGAATAATATAATCTATAATTTCAATTAAATTAAAATTATTAAAAATATAAGTGAGCATATTATTAGAAGTCATAATATATCCATTTAATATGGAGAAAATGATATACAAATCGATAAACTACAGAATAACTAGTCTATTTTAAAAGAACAAGCAATTATTTATGTATCTTTATAATATAAGGAATACTTTGTACATTTTCAAGATAAAAGTATAAAGCAATGATAAGCTTCAATGATGGAATAATTGAAAAATATATTCTTTCCTCATATATACTTAAACATAATGTAATGAATTAACTTAATGGCTGTCGAATAACTTATTTGTAAAATGATAATGAAGATGCAGAAAAATACTAATAAAATTTAATAATAATATATAATATCAGATCTATTAGTATTAATTAAGATAATTAATTTTTAATTTATTATATTTATTATTATATTTATTTGAAATTTTATATTTATCATCTTGAAATCCATTGAACTGATATTTATTAAAACACATTTTATTAAAGCCTCAAAAAATTATAGAATAAACCGTATTTAAAAAAAATAAAATTTTATATAGAACAAACAGATCAATAAATTATTATTTAAATTTATTTGTATTATAATCATTACTAAATATTTTATTTACCTTGCAATTTTTGCAACATGGCCCAGAAGCACATTCGGCTTCTCTTGTAAGTTTACAAGTAATGGCATCACAACAAGGATCAAGATTTTCACAATCATCAATAGTACCACAATCACATTGCTCTCCTTCATCGATTATCCTGTTTCCACATAACCTTCTTACTTCTAACTAAAAATATGTAAAGTTGTAATTCGATTATATAATTAATTAATATACTATATATATATATTATAAAAATGTTTATACATATTTTCTTGAAAAAGTAGAAATATTTTCCAAAATTTAAAAAAAAAATAAAACAAAAAATATACATATACATTTTTAATATAGAATTTATGAATACAAATAAATTAATAACCTCATTTGGCTTATTAAATAGGCATACATCCTTTCCATCCTTTAATGCAGCAATATAATCCGCTTTACTACATTCGGAGAATTTATATGGTTGTACATTTTCCAATCCTACAATTGATTGCGCCATTATGCAGCCGTGCCAATCGTGACAACGACACTCCGATTCTATGAAAAATAAAAAATCTTTGTTCTATATGATTTATATTTTTGCTTAATTTTTATAATTAGATTATAGTTTTGTTATTTTTAAATTGCGCAATTATAATCGAATAAGTCATAACAAGTTTAGGAAAGTAATTAATTAAAATAATATAAATATCAAAATTATTTTTGCAATTTTTAAAATATTTAAAGATTATAAACAATATTAGTGTTCATAAGAAATTTGTGCTTATTACATATCCAAAATTGATAAGACAAGCATATGTTTAAGATAAATTTCAAAAATGTATTTATTTTTTAAACTCGTGTGATTCTAGTGAACAAATTTTTATAATTATGTAATCATATAACATTCTATTGTAATATTTACTAGCTTTATGCTAGCAAATGTTATGTGTAAAAGTGGAAAAAACTCTTGATCAAGTTTGTACGTTTGTTATATATATATATAATCTTATATGAAGATATAACGTAGTGTATAGGTATTAAGGAGTACAGTTCATTTTTAAGTACACCCATACTCAAAGTGAATCACAACCTGACCACGAATCTTAATACAAGCAAAAAAAGAGTTCAGGCAGAGGCACCATAAGTATCATTACTGAATGAAGCAAGAAAGCTAAATTAAAAAACAAAGATACGAAAAGTTATTGTGTAATAACAATGTACTTACTATTATCATCATGAGACATTCCAATATTATGACCAATCATATGAGCCATAGTACCAGCAAGAAGATGAGGCTCATAAGTATTGAGATCAACACTTATCCCAACAGATTTCTGACTACAAACTGTATCAGGTACAGCAATTCCTGATTCACCTCCTAGAAAATTTTCTCCTCTGCAAAATAATGAATTAATCATAGTAAGATAAGTATAATATTATAAAACCAAAATAAAATTTTAAAACAAACAATATCTTTAATTTCATAAAAAACCAGTAATTTATACGACTTTACTTATGACCAACTTTAAGAATTCTATAGAAAAGTATTTTTAAAAAAATTATTTATAATTATGTATTTACATATTTATGTATTTATAAATAGAATATATACTAAATTAAACATACTTCATAATTGTAATTTAATTAAAAATATGCTGGTAACATTGTTTTACCTTAATTATAGGATGATACTTTTTAAAAGTAGAATTAATTGTAAGTAATGGTAAGAATCTTCTAATTATCTATAATTTTATAATATATTGTTCATCTTTTTAAGTGTTATGTCCAATGGAAATAAATAGAAAATATTAGAAATTTAGGACATTGAAATACGGAATCAGAGATAAATAAAATCAATGAATATGTTTTACATAAAAAGATTATGTTTATTTAGGTATTTATTAATCATATTTATTAATTAAATCCATTTATATACTTAGAAGAATTTTATAAATACAATCTAAACTCTGATATAATTTAAAAATCCTTTATAATATTGTAAATAAGTTGATGAACATAGTTATCTCACTATTTATTTTTATTTTTATTCTAAATTACCTAAAACTTTGTCTTCCGTTTTAGATATGTTACAGTTCATTCCGAAAGTATAATGAATAAAATTCAATTGATAAAGTACATAATGTAATTAAATATTTCATTTGTTTGCATTTACTGAAATTAATAATTATGCATTTTACAAATTTAGAATAAGAATAAATTTGTAAAAATTTTATATAAAATTGATGTAATGTAAATATATAAAAAAACATAATATTAATAAAAGTTATTAATATAACCTTGAAGAAATATGTCAAATGCAAGATATAACAAAACCAGTAAGAAAAAATATTACTATTATAGTTTCAATGGACAATTTATTAACCTGCTTTTTGTACTTCTTTAAGTATATATTATTTAGAATGCAATTTTCAAATTTAGTATATAAAAATATATGTTATATTCATTCTATAATTAAAATTTTAAATGGATTCAAAATGCAAAAAAAAATTTTTAGCAGTATCTTAAACAAGTATCGTTGACTATATGTGAGCTATTTAAATAAGGAAAATAAATTATTTCGTTTTTCTAATATTAAAAATAATGTAAATTATAATGTGGTTTATTATAAACTAATAACTCGATTATAAATTATTTTTATTATGAAAGGTTTAATAATGACAGTTTGCAGTATTGTACATTTTATAACTGGTTCTGTAGAAAAATTCAAACGTATGTATAGGCGAATAATTAATAAAGTTATTTAAAACAGTTTTAAAACCATATTCAATTTTTCTTCACGTTCGAATTCGCATCCATATTATGAGAACTTTTAAAATAATAGATTTGGGAAGCTTCAATTCCACGTATTCTTTAAACAAAAGCATAAAAGGTCTACATAAAATGAAAGAGGTAATTGATTTTTTAAATTATAATTAGTAAGGATTTTATGATAAATATTGGAATAATAATATTAAATGGCAATGATACTTACGTAAGTAATTGAGCTGTATCATGAGAAATTTGTATCTTTCTAGTCATGTAATCATTAAAATTAAGTAAGGCTCTGCTAATATCTGTACTTTTATCTATAGTTATTTGATTTCCACCTTGCCACGTTTCAATGTATACTACTGAAACTCTTGTATTCAAAGTACGGAAATACTGAAAAATTTGAATATACATATGAATATATTTGCTTAGTAAATTCTTATTTTTATATTATATGAGTGTTTTCTAAATATAGAATAGTTTGTTTTCATATTTTTTTCATAATTTAATCCATAATTTTTTTATATTTAATAAAAATAAATATATCATATATCCATAGGATCTACAATAATCAAGAATACAAGAACACATCATTTGAGACTTCAATAGAATTATTTATCTCTACACAACAGTGCAATATAATTATAATTGTTTACAATAATAAACCTTGTTTTAATAAATATATTATATTTTTCAGCCTTGTCTATTTCCTTTAAAGTTATCCTGCCGAGAAACTAATCCACTGAACTATTGAATTGGCAGTTCGAGCCATAAACTAACCCTTTAAAATCGAACATTACTTCTATACTATATTTAATAAAAATATTATACTCTATATATAGCTCTACTATTAATAATGAAATATATTTACTTTATCATATATATATGCAAGTTAGTTTAAACTCTTATCATTGCAATAATAATTTTCAAATTAATATACCTACCAAATCAGCAATATTTGCAACTTGAATAATGTCATGGACAACTTCAGCTCTTGTACTACCATTTCTTTTATCAAACTGAAATAAAAAAAAAATTTAAGACAATTATTTCAATTTTTAATTAGCAAAGCATGATCAAATCGATATATCATTAGTTTCTATTTATTGGCGTGAATTAATATTATTCATAATAAAATATATTTTTATATTGGAAGAAATTATAATAAAACTTCTTATTTATTAATATTAACTTAAGATGTAGTTAATATATATTAGCATATAAATATGTATTTACTAACATTTATGATAATTAAATGCTATATGTCTGGGATCAGACTTAAACCTCTGTATGATGGTAGGTGGAGGTGTTGCTGGCAAGTGGAAGGACAATGCAATTATTTAATACTGCCTTTAGCGTTAATTATCTTCCTTTATTAAGTATCATACATATAACAATTAGCCAATGATCTATAGATGTCGGAACGAATGTGTGAGAGAATAAATAGATGAGTGGTTCTCCAATTAATGTAGGTGACGATGAGCCTGTAAGTGTATTCTTGATAGCTTGAAGCGTAATTCACCCCTTCTCCTTATACGATGAATTGCTGTAGTGGGAAACTCGCACTGGAAGGGGAAGCGAGTTGGCGTCGCCTTAGCCGCCGGCGTAGAGTGAGCGCCGTAGTGGTCGAAGTGGTGGGAGGATGTCCGTGTTGCGTCACTGCTTGTAATGCAATGTCGATAGTGTGCGTTACTTACGTGAGCGTGAGGACCGTTATTATACCTGTGGTGATGAGTGACGTTCGTGATGCGTCGCTGCGTAGGTATTCGTGAGATCCGATGTGGTTGTGGTAGTGGTGCATGTCCATGATGCGTTGCTGCTTACGTAGTTGACAGGAGCCGTTGGAATCGCAATCATAAGGAACGAGCGTGATGCGTAGCTTACATAGTTGGCTGGAGCCGTTGTAGTCGTAGTCGTAAGGAACGAGCGTGGTGGCGTAGCTTACGTGAGCTGGCGATTGTAGGTAGAATGGCGAGCCTGTCGTGAAGAGTGCTTGATTGAACTAATAAGAGGGAAAGCGCGGCAAGTGCAGCTCCTTAAATATTCTCGTACGAACTTGCGGCGCCGGTAGAGCATCGGTGGCTGTTGCTATGCCGATATTTGTCGTGACGTCAATAGGGCATAGCCTTGTAGGGTTCATTGTTATTACTTTTCGGCATTATAGTCGTACATTCGAGTTTCGGTGTAGAAGCAATTCTCGAGTTCATTGGCTAGTGTTTATAAACAAATGTTCGCGCGCTCATACATCTCCAACTTTGTATTCCGCTTTCAACTGTCTCAATCCGTAACACTATGAATTATGATTTAATATTTAACACGGTTGAATAAAATATAATTATAATATATTTATTTACAGAAAAATATTTATTATAGATACAAATTTTTGGCTTTTGCCTGGGATCAGATTAAAAACCTCCTTATCATGGTGGGTGGAGGCTTGCTGGCAAGTGGAAAGGGCAATGCAATTATTCAACACTGCCTTTGAACATAGTGTTTTTCCCTTTATTGAATATAATATGTAATAAATCGTCAGTGGTCTATTGATGTAGACTTGAATGTATGATACAATGAATAAAGGAGAGTTTCTTCAATTAATATGAGTGACAAGAATCCTGTAAGTGTATTTTTGATGGCTTGGTGCTTGATTCTCCTACTCGTAGTTATGAACTCGCAGTGGTAGTGGGAGATTCGCGCTGATAAGGGGCAGCAATGGTGCCGCCTTTGCCGCTGCCGATGAGAGCTATATCGGCTTGAATGGGGAGCGCCTGTGTAAGGTCTATGATGCGGGGCAATAATGATGCCGTGACGAGAGCTGCGCTGTAAAGGGGAAGCGGTGGTGCCGCCTTGCCGCTGCCGATAAGAGCTGTAGCGGTTTGAGTGGGGGGGGGGCCTATGTGACGTCACTGATGCTGGGCAGTGATGATGCCGTTGCCGCTTGCGAGATGCACACTGTAGCGATCTAGTGGAGGGGTGATATCCGTGTCGCGTTCTGCTTGACGTGTGGGAGTATTCCTCGTACCGTGTACCACTTATTAGTATTGCTGCTTACTTAGTTGGTGGGAACCGTGTATTAGTGATCCGTAAGAACGTGTGTAATAGCGTAGCTTATGAGTGTAGAGTCGATCTCAGTACATTGATGGTACGTAAGAACGTGTGTAATAGCGTGGCTTACGTGTGTTAAGGTCGATCCGTGTAGTAGCGTTGGATAGTCGAATGAGCTTGGCTTTCGTTGAGCTGGAGTCGATTTGTGCAGCGTTGGATAGCCGAATAAGCTTGGCTTCCGTTGAGCTGGTGTCGATTTGTAGAATGACGATCCGGTCTTGATGAATGCTTGATTGAACTAGTAAGAGAGCGAGAGCGTCAAGCGTGTCTCCTTAAATATCCTAACACAGGCTTGCAATTCCGGTGAATTCTGGATCAGTCTTGTCATGCTGATTGTCACTAGAATCTAGCCTTGGAGAGTTCGTCGGCCCTTGTTAGTCGGAATTGTAATGTAATATTCGACTAATTTGAGTAGTGAGGTTTCCCGATTTCATAGAATTCTGTTTATGACTCGGCGCGCAAATGTTTCTACCTAAGCACAGGTGTTTGTTTACCGCGTAAAATTGCTGTAATCCATAACAAAACTATTTATTAAAGTATACTAAAAACTACAGTATCACATTAATTCAGTCCTTTCTATACATGATCCATTTTCTTTATTAATCTTTTCAATTGTGTACAGAATATTATTTCAATTAGCATCAACTGTAACGCTTGAAGAAAACTATGCATAAGTCATAAAAACCAAATACATAAGTAAATTACAATTTATGTATTTTGTATTTGTTTAGGATTGGAGCATAGCAATAGGAGTTACAGCTCACAATGTCGTAAACGTTGACTACGAAAATTCTCGATAAATTCAAAGATTTTGCTTGAGAACGTCCTACAATGTTTATCCATTAACCGCATAGCAACTGCGGTAAAAGTCTCCAACCGGCAAAAGCTTACCTTCTTTGTCTTGTTGAGTGAGTCTAGAAGAAATCGTGCAAGTCATATCTGGTGAAGTTCTACGGTTTCTACACACCTCCGTCAAAAGGGATCTGTGTAAAGTGCACTGCTAATAACTAATTACCATTTATTGCCATGGGGCGCAAAATTATTCGCGGTACGCCTTCAACGATATTTATTCTCATTTATATCGCTGCCGGGGGCCGCCATTTGCCATGCGCCTCCAACAAGGCTAATTCTTATTTATACTGCTACGGGGTACGCAATTGCTCGCGATACGCCTCTAGCGAGACTGGTTCTCAGTTATATCGGTACGGGGCACCGCCATTGCCATGCGTCTCCAGGGAGATTAATTCTCATCTCTCCCGCTACGGGGCGCCGCAACCTGCCACGCACCTCCAGCCAGAGTAATTTCCATCATACTGCTACGGGCGCTGCTACTGGCAACACACCTCCAGCTGGACCAGGCTTCCCTTGCACACCCGGACGAGGCCCTGCACTTCCTCTCTATTAATTGTCAACAACACTCACTACTACCGGTGAATCGTTTGCATAATTGTAATTGAACCTATAATAAATGTCACGAAAACCAATTGTGCTTATACTGAATTGATGCATTAACCTTTCACTCATCCCCACTTGTCCACCAGTAAAACGGTGGCATGGTTTAATCTAATCACCTTGGTCTCTTCAACGCCGGGTCAGTGGAATCTCCGAACAGTATTTATTATATATATACAAAAAACATACATATTTATTATACATTACCATAGATTTGTCGATGAAGATAGCTGTCTCAATATACTTAGCGACTTCGCGTACATCTCGCTTATATCTATTTGAAACATCCTCTGATAGATTCACTAAATGCTTCTGTCGACGTGTTTTTGAACGCCATTCAAGTGTTCCTGAGTTAGCACAACCTTTATTAATTTTTGTTCTCGCTTCAAATATAACATGAGGATGCTTCTGCTAAAAGAGAGTTGTGAATATAGTTTGCGTACTTTAGTAAATTATTTAAAAAGTAATGTACATAATAAGAATCATAAATATATAAATATTTTTAATTATCAATTATAATTGATAAATTTTAAAAATAAATAAATAATAGAAAACTTCGTTTTTTATTACAATGTATTTAGATAATTATATTTATAATGATAAATTTTTTCAAATTAAATCAGGTTAGAATAATGTATGTCTTGCTATGATTTAAAAATCAATATGTTATTTAAGATACAAAGTTATTTCTGTATAATTTTCTATACAATATAATCTTAACTACCTTAATATACTAAACATTTATAACACATTAATATAAATATTACTCAGAAATAAAATGACATCAATAATTAATTAAGTATAAAAGTGTAGAGAAGTAAAGCAAATAATAATTAAGTTACTGATTTATTGCTTATAATTAAATTATGTATGTGTTCGAAACTGTTAAATTTTTTGGCTTGCCCGCCCTAGCAGATACTTAGGAAGGCATCAAGTGGAGCGGTTGTAGAAATGTGTAATATGTGCAGCCTTCGGTTTATTTAGAGTTACATTACTAATAAGCTGTATTCACTTCTCATAGAAGAGTGAAAACTCTGTCTTTGCGTAATAAAGTGGCTGCTCTTTGATGGTGAAGATGTCGTGGTCTCTGATAATGTTGTAAGGATTAGTAGAGATATGCGCACACTTCTATATAGGACGTATGACCTCAAAGTGCAATATGCTCACATTCCTGTATAGGGCGTGTAGCCTCAAAGTGTATATAAGCGCACAATCCTGTATTGAACGTGTGACCACAAAGTGTAATATTCTCACACGCCAGTATAGGATGTGTTACCTCGAAAGTGTACATAATGAAAGTGGCTTGTACTACTGTTGCAAAGATTAGCAGTAATATATTCACACTTCTGTATAGGACTGTATAGAAATGTTTACAAATTTTTATAGCTAGAAGAGTTATAGCTTTCCGAAAGTCAAAATCTTGAAAAATGCTCCAATTCCAAATAGTATGACTGTTACGGATTGAAGCAGTTAAAGACGGATATAGATACAATAGATCATAGATGCAATAGAGTCACCCAGATTCAAGAACTTACCTCAGAAGCACAATGGAGATACAAGCCAGGAACATCAAACCCAGCAGATTGCACCTCCAGAGGACTAACAACACAGCATCTTAAAGACCATCCACTATGGTGGACTGGACCACCATGGATAATGACACCATACTAATGGCAAACACAACCAACAGAAGGGGATAACCAATGCAACCAGGAAACTCGCGTAAGCATCTCATTAGCCGCAACAATTGAAAGGCCAGACTATGAATGGGACATCATTTACGATTACTCATCACTCAACAAAATGTTGGAAATAACTGCAACATGCATCAGATTCATCGCATGCCTAAAGGGGCCCTTCAACGAGCCAGCCGACACACTCTGAAATAGACCAGGCAAGAACGCAGTGGATACGACTGACACAAGATACATACTTTTCCCATGAACTAAGAGCAATGAGGTCCCAAAAAAGATTGCCTCCATCACATGCATTCCATCGACTCCCTTCCTACATCGATGCACAAGGCGTCAGAAGAATTGGTGAAAGACTAATGAACGCGCCAATGACAGAGAACAACATCCAGCCATTCTCCCAAGACTATCACAACTCACAAACCTCATTATTGACCAAACACATCTCAGAACACTTCACGGAGACACCCAAATTACGCTAGCATACACTCGCCAACAATACTGGTTACTAGGAGGACGACCAGCCGTCAAATCACATATACTACGATGCGTCATCTGTGACAAACAAAGAGGAATTTGCACCAGCCAACTAATGGGTCATCTACCCCTCGCCCGAGTAACGCCCTCACAACCATTCTCACACACTTGCGTTGACTATGCTGGCCCCCTCACAATAAGGACATGGAAGGGGCAAGGAGCAAAGACCTACAAGGCTTGGATCTGCGTATTTGTATACCTAGCTACATCCTCAGTGCATCTTGAAGTGGTGGGTGATTACTCATCGGAAAGATTCATTGCAGCATATCGAAGATTCTCAAGTCGCAGAGGTATTCCACGGGTTTTACACTCAGACTGTGGGACAACATTCGTCAGAGCAGATAAGGAGTTAAAAAGGCTATTCATTCAATGTACCAAGGAACACCATCACATTATAAACATATTCACGGAAGATCATGCACGTTAGGAATTTAATCCACCTGCGGTTCCTCACATGGGAGGGAAATGGGAATCCGTAGTAAAATCCATAAAATTACACCTCAAACGATCAACAAGAGAAGCATCGTTCACCATTGAAGAAATCACGACCCTACTAGCCCAAATAGAGGCCAGACTGAATTCACGCCCACTACACCACTAAGTGACGATCCCGATAATTGCTCAACTCTTACACCAGGCCACTTTCTTATAGGAGGACCGCTTAATATACTACCAGATCCATCATTAAAGGACAAGAATGTTTCGAGACTCTCCAGATGGAAATTCATACAACAGCGAGTCCAACAGTTCTGGACTCAATGGACTAAACACTATCTACAACATCTCTCGACATCAAAGTGGCATCACCCAAAAAATGATATCCAAATTGGATCCCTGGTTCTCATCACAGATCAAAGACAACCACCATGCAAGTGGCCTCTCGCCAGAGTCATCGAGCTGCATTCGAGAAAGGGCGGAATGACCAGATTTGTCACACTAAAAACCGCCTCATCCACAATCACACGACCAATGAATTGATGATGGCGGGCGGAATACAAAATTGGGAAAGCTATAAACACCTGGACATTTACGTTATAAACACAATTCAGCGAATTGGGGGAAATTTCATTACGCAGAATGCTCGAATATTAGATTTTAATTCCGACTAGCAATGCCGATGAACTTTCCAAGGCTATATTTTAGTGACGTCACCATAATGATCGGGATAGTAACAGACACCGGTGCGCTATCGGCGCTTTAATCTCGCACGAGAATATTTAAGAGCAGCGCTTGACACGCATTGTAGTAGTGCAAATTAATAATCATACAGTCTCCACGACGGGCTCATTATTCCTCCTGCAAGCGGTAACTCTACAAGCATCAGTACTGCATCTATGTACGTACGTAGAACATCAAGCAATTCAGGGAACCAATAAGCACTCACGCCCACGTAAGCAACGTACACGACCGTTCCTTACAACCACACCAATACAGGCGCTGACGCCAATGTAAGCAGCAATGCGACACAAACGCTCCGTACCACTACTTCAACGGCAGCGGCACTCACGCTACTCAAGAGCCTAAGGCAGCAACGTCTCACGCTCCCTTTCAGTGCGCGTCTACTACTACAGCGACTCGTCTTGCAAGGAGAAAGAATCGCGCCCCACTCTACCGAGAGTACACATACTCTCACCATCACGTACACCAATTGAAGAAACTTCACCACAATAATTCACTCACGCTGCCATTCATACTCTTATGATCATTATCTAATTGTTATAGTTATTATATTTAATAAAAGGAAAGACATTAAATTCTACAAGTGGTATTGAATAATTGCATTGCCCCTTCCACTTGCCAGCAACACCTCCACCCACCATCAAAGGAAGGTTTAAGTCTGATCCCAGACAATGACAAAATAATATAATGAAGACAATGATATAAAACCTTTATGAACTAAAATCGTATAACAAATCTATACATTGAATTTTCATTTTTTTACATTTCTATTTATTTTCTTTAAATTGATTTACTGATCTTTTTCGCAAATCTTTAATTTCTCATATTTACAACTATCAAAGTATTTTCTAAATTATGTACAATTCCATAAAATCTCTTTTTATAATATTATTTATATATAGATAAATATGTGACATAACTTATTTTGTAATGTTGCGAATTTAATATAATGAAAATTGATTTATTATTGATTATAAAGTATCATACCATTTCAATGAAGAGTAAGCAATTAATCTTTATTTTAAAGATGAATTTATCAGTTAAAATAACTCGCTTGTCGTCAAAATGTTGAGTAAACCGAACATATTTCTCTATTCAAAAATAATAAAAAATTCAGATTCAGATTGTGCAAAAGAATATATATGGATTGAATTAGAAATATAAAATTACACTAATAGTAATACACTATAGTAAAAAATTAACAATATTTATAAGTAAAATAATTATTTTTATCGAGATGAATAGAGTAGAGTGTAGTGGAGATAAATTAATTGATTAACGAGATAAATGACTATATTAAATCATAATCATCTATTTATTCTTTATGCATAAGAATATATATATATATATAAATAAATATATCATACCATCATATATATTTTGGTTATAAAATACTAATACTATAATTAATGTCAAGTATAGATAAATAAATGAAAATTAAATAAGAAATACTATCTAAAAAAAGATGTTATAATAAAAATATGAAAGTGTTATTTATATATAGAATATATTTAAAACATTTATTATAATAAAATTGAATAACTATTTCTTACTGACCGACATATCTCCACCGTAAAATGGATGAATAACAAAAGTTTCATTTCCTAAATGAATTACACCACTAACACCGTTGCATGTATGAAATGCAGCACTAGCTCCAGGATAATCTTTAACAGTACCATGATAATAACAATGTTCAATTTCCTGAAATAATGATTAAAATATTATGTATAATTATTGATATGTACTAAAATAAAAATGCTTCCATTCAATACTATCTACCTGTTTAGATACTTGTTCTGCACCATTGATTAAATAATCTTTCTGTCCTAAATTTGGAGCTAAAAGCTGTCTGTAATAATGATATATATTTTACATATATAAAATAAAATCACATTAATATTACTGAAGAGTTAATAGAATAATTTCATGTTTTACTATATTATTTTATAAATTATAGATCTTCATTTATAATTTTATCTATACTATTCAGTCAAAAATTCTTTTAATTATAAAATAAAGAGTTTTAGATCATTTTTTTGAATAATTTAAAAATAATATTCCTTAATAATATATACTTAATCATTTTTTAATTAAAAAAATAAGTATTTAACTTTTATCATTAATAGTTTTATTACATTTATTCGATTTACTTACGTATTTAGTTCTAAATCCAAACGAAATTTATGATTGAAGGCTTTTATTAGAAGTGAAGTTCGATGAAAGTGTTTACCTGTCTAAAAAAAAAATTAATTAATATTTTATGAGGATGTAAAATGTGTTTAGATCTAATATAGAATGTTTGTAAACCAATATAATGTTTGATTGAATTTATTTAAATAAAAATAGCATACATATACACACGTTGATAAAAGAAATGGTGAAACTTCTTTAAAAATAATTTTCTATTTTCAATTACAAATATGTTTACAAATATAGCAGTTGTAATATTATATCGTACATCAAATTCCATATTTATTCGTATAATTAATTTATAATTTGTAAATAACAACTAATATTGAATAAAAACTTGTGTATATTACATCATTAATAGGCTTCACTGAATATATAGTTATGTTATAATTGTCTGTTATAATTTTTTACAAAATTTTTCAAATCTGCTAATTATTGTTAGATAAAATATTTATTAAAATTATTACAAAAATACTAAAATATTGTAAAATATATAAATAATTTTTATAAAATATAAATCACTTTTTTTATTACATTTTGTGAACTTTATTTTTTATGTGTGATTTTACGATAAATTAATTTGTTTAAATCGTAATATAATATTAAATTAATGTAAGTATATAGATGTAAGATTATAGTAAAATATTAAAATTTATTAACATATTGAATGCATATATAGTATGTAAATAGTTATACATACAGTATTACATTTTATATATACAATAAACAATTTGTTACCTCTGGAAAAATAACTTTCAATATTTTTCAGCATTTGTCTGATTCTTATATCTACTTATTTTTTGCAAGCGAATAAAATTCATAATTATTTGGATAGTTATTTAGTGCAAATTCAGATTTTATCTATGAACTGAATTCGTATGAATAATAAGTTTATATTTTGATTATCTAATAATATATAATTTATGAAGTATTTACTATGTCAAACGATAATGATTTCCACGCATGTTTTAATCGCTTCTATCCATTTTTATATTCTTATTCCTTTTTTTAACCCCGACCATACTAATAAAGATCTCACCGAGTGGGTGTTATTAGAATTATATTATTAAATACTCTGGAATTATCAAACGATCTTTTTATTTATAATGCTTTCGAAAGTGTTGTGACATTTATACACGGTTCCACTGTCATGAACAAGGTAATCGAGATAATACTTCTTAGCTCCGTATTACCAACAATATACAATTTTTCCAAAATTTGTGAATAGCAAGACTTAAATCTCAACAATTTATCTTATTAAATTGAGACGAAAAACAAACTAATTAATACTTTTTTCAACTTTTAACTCAAATATTAATAATTAATGATCTATTCATTAAATTTCAAAGTGTTAATTTCAGGATACATCTGCTGAATTTTCCTTTGGACAACATACTGTTTATATTACTAAAATTATGAAAAAAGATAACAGTGGAAATATTATGTAATATTATTATGTCAATAAGTTGATGTTTTAAATTAATTCTTTGTTTTCAACAAATAATTGTTTAAATAATTTGTAGTTTAATAGAATAAAAATTGTATTCGATATAAGTAAATGTTGAATAGTTTGAGATTCCGACTTTTGTTTAAGAAGACTTCATTATTTATTTCTTAGTAATACAAACTTCTTTTTAATAATTTATTATTAATAAAAGTATTCTTATATCAAGCACACTTTAAGTTAATATTGATCGATTACCTATTCCTTATATCTTTTATATTGGAGTCATATATATATAATATATATATATTTATTTATTTATCATAAATGTATTATACTAATAAAATAATTTTATATATATTGCCTATTTTAATAAGAACTTTATTTTATTTTACCATAAATTGCATCCATGTACACACAACTGACAGTTTAAAATTTTATGCTTCTATTTTATAGGAATTCATTTCTTTGATACCGTTAATTTTAATTATAGATTTATTATAGATTTATAAATTTTATAAATATACATAATTATAAATTTAATTATAGATAGATATTAAATATAGAATTATAGGATTTGAAAATACTGATCACTTTAAAAAATTGCGTGATTTATTTATTTTAACTTCTGGCCAAAATATCGATTTCCTATTCGTTTATAAATACTTTTTGGCATTTCTAAAGTTATCTTACACTAAAATCATTAAATATTAATACACGATTTTTTCGTAATTATTTACTATTACTATTAAGTGCTAAATTTACTAAATACATTACGGTATTATTAAAATTATTTCACCTCTGTATGAGACACGAAATATTTAACGAAAGAATTTTATATTAAAATATGTAACAAAAGTTGACACTGGAAGTATGTCACAAAATAAAGTAATTAAAATACAATTGAAATTTTTTACATGATATTTTACGTTGAATTTATTAGAAACATTCATTAATCATATAAAAATATCCTCGTAATTGAACTTTTCAATGGTAAAATGAAATTTACAAAAATAAATCAGCTTTGATAATCAATAATTAGCGTATAATTTGTAATATAACAGCTCCAAAAAATGCATTCTTTTCAAATTCTGGAACCACTTTCGATTAGGATAACAACGCACACTTCAATAATCTTTTTATAAACCATCGATAGTATATCAGTAATAGTACATAATTTGAGTATATTTACTTTTTTTATTCAGTATTAGCTGTAATTTTACTGGTAATAAAAGCTTTCGAAGTTTGATTGTTATATAATCACATTTTATTAATTGCATTGTACTTTTTCTCGAATTAATTGCAATCAAAATACAATGATAATACTTTTTTATCCAAATATTATTAATCTTTATGGCCTACTTATAGACCTTCTGTATAACTATTTCTGTTTAGTAACAATGCTAAGTTTAATGTAGCCTCCACTATTCGGTTTAAAAGAGGAATTTTTATAGCTCATTTTAAATTAAATGTTAGAGATTTCAGGTTCTAATATGAATAAAAATTACTTTGATTTTGTCAATTAGTAATTTTATTAATAAGATAGTTATGTTATAAGTCGATACTAATAACAATTAGAAATACATGAATTGCTATTGGACATCCAAATTACTTCATAGAATTATCTGATTTTTTATCACACTTTCACCCTTCTGAAATTGAAACGTTTTAATGTTATTCTGTTTAATGGCATTCCTTCCATTTCTTACTTCGTGTATTCTTATTTTAGTTTTTAAATTGACATTGATTTTGAAACTTAAGTCTAAGTCATACTACAAGGTTATACAGTATTTTAAAAAAAGAGTACAAAGAGGTTAAAATTCTATATTACATTAAAATTAAGAATTATCCATATTTACGAAAATATGTACTTTTCGATATAGTACTTATACAAAATAAATCTTGTAGAAAGTCAAGTATTTACATATTTGCTTATTCATAATATATATTTAAAAGGATTAAATTTTCCTTTTTAATTTTTTATCTTAAATGTTGTATTGGCGGTAGTTAACAATATGAATTAAAAAAGGCCGTTTTTTGTTGCTTAGAGTCGACAAAAAATTTCAATGATATAAATATTTATAGAAAATTTTTAGATAAATTTTATGAACAGTTGCCTAATACGTCGTTAAATAAAATAGAGTACTCTAATTTATATGTATTAATATTTTTGTTTAGTTTAATATTTTCTATTAAAGTGTTATTATTTATTCAAAGTTTTTTGTTTTTTTTTTATTTGTATTTGCTTGAATATTATGGAAATCTAAAGCAGCAAAATAGAATTACTACGTACTGAAAATTAATACATTTTTAATATATTTTCCATTTAAATTTTTATGTTTGTTCGGAAGTGGTATTATTTCCTGACTCGAACTATCAATGTTTCGATAGCTTTAATAATTTGCCGTTTGCCCTAGCAGATGCTTTAGTGGAAATTAAGTGGTAGGGTTATAGAAAGATGCAGTATGTGCAAACGTCATTAACATATGGTTTATTAATAGTTACATTAATAATAAGCAGCATTCACTTCTCATAGAAGAGTGTAAACCCTGTCTTTTCGCAATAAAGTGGTTGTTCTTTGATGATGACGATGTCGTGGCCTCTGCTAATGTTGTAAGGATTAGTAGAGATATGCGCACACTCCTATATAGGATGTGTGACCTCTAAGTGCAATATGCTCACATTCCTGTATAGGATGCGTGGCCTCGAAAGTGTAATAAAGTGTAATATGTGCACACGCTTGTATAGGACGTGTGGCCCTGAAAGTGTAAGAAATTACCTTTGAGACTATGTTTGTTTTAACCATATAGTTTCTCGTAATGCAGCCAGCACCCATGACTTGTAAGTTGTAGCACACTTGATAATTAAAACGTGTATTCCTTGAGATGGCTTAATTGTGCAAGCGTAACTGAGCGACTGGTGCGTGACAGAAAGCACTGGCTGAATAACATAGTTGAATGACTGAGAACTGTTCACTGAATAAAATACAATCAGCGTCTAACGTTGCCCGTAAATATCCGCGCGGCAGCTTACTTAGCTAGCAACAAAGCATCGTTGTTGCTATACTGGAATCTTACATGAGGCATAGAACGAAAACTAAGAAAAAATAAGGCTAAAGAAATTTGGAGAATTCCAAGCGACGTTGCTATGCGAAGTCCATATAAACATTGTAGGGCATTTGAAACCAAAATATAATAAACTAAAATTCTGATACCCAAGTGTTAACACAAACTTCAGAGCTAGAGGGACTAGCGATGCCTAGAGCCTATGGTCTTGGAAATTACTTCAATCCCGAACAGTGTTATTATTTTGCTTATATTATTTTACTTTTCCATTAATTAACAAATTACTATAAACCCATTTTTGAATGTTTTGTTACAATTTTAACTTGGTAATAGGTAAAAAAACAAAAACTTTCAATAAATTTTATAAACATAATAATTTAATAGAGTAAAATGTTAATATTAATTTTTTAAATTAATTTATATTAATATTATATTATATTATATTAATAATACAGAAAATATTCGATTTAACTTTAAAAAAAAAAGAATGTACTGAAATACTTTATTAATTTTAATTAATAAAACTTAATTGCATAAACTTACTCTGGATCTGGATCTTGAATTTTGATATACTCCGTCACTATAACTACCCTTTTGAGGAAACTACAAATATAAATAATATATTTTTAAACTATAATATAATAAGTGACATTGCTATAGTTATAGTATTAAAATTATAGTATTATAATCAATATAATGATTAATTAATAACTTAATAAATAATATCAGTACCATATTATTAAAATATTTTCGATAAAAAACTGTTGAAATAAATAAACTGATATAATATAATTTATGAATTCATTCTAAAACAATACTTAAAAAACAATGTATTTATATTAATTATAATAATATATATTATAAACAAATTTTCATGTTTAAATCATAATTGCATTTTTATATATTAAAAATATTCAAAGGAATATTTTTTAATCAAACTTTTATGAATACATTCTATATTTCAAATTACTTCATATTTCTATTTATTCTTTCAAAATTTATATATGTCTAAAAATAGAGTACCGGGCGAGGAGGGCCAAATATCTAAAGTTAGGTGTAAACTCCTAGATGGTTGATGGGAGCATTGCGGGCAAGTGGACAGGATAGTGCATGTATTCAATAATAGCGTTGGTATTTGTTGTAGTTTATTGTAATAATGCATTAGTTGTGTTATAATGATTTTTAGTTGTTGGTTGAATGCTTTCGTTTCTTAAATTTTGTATTGCTATTGCCACAGAGCGGTAAGGTGCGTTGCATGTACAGGTAGAAGGTCGTAACCTTCTGCTCCTTTATATGTAATGCACGTGGTGGTGGAGTTATACACGTAGAACAAGGTCGTAAACCCCCGCGCTTCCTTGTGTAGTGGCATGTGACAGTAGCTTGACAAAACTTAAGAAACGAAGTCATTCAAACATCAACTAAAAATCATTATATTACCTTTGAGACTTGACTAAGTTAATTTTATTTATTATTATCTTTAATTAATAATAATAGTTTATATATATATATAATCACAGTCATCTTATTTTTAAAAAATATTATAACACATCAATATTTTTATAATATTCATTTATACGTTATCATTTTATTATTTACTAACAATATTCAAATTAAATTCTAATAAAATAGACTTCTTACTCTAGGAATTCCTGCTTCTCTTGTAGATATACCCATTTTTTCGTGATGTCTTAACTGTACTGGATAGATGATTTGATAAAAATTAGCACCAATATTTTTTACTAACTCTTCATTTTGTTGGTATTGCCGAAGAAGACGTTCAACTTCACCTAGAATAATATTTTCAGCAAATAATTTAAGAAATTTAAAAAAAGATGTACTATTATACTTTCATTTATTAGTATTTCATTTACTGTCATATTTTTTTTAATGTATTTTTATTATAAGATAAATAAAAAAAGATAGCAGATGATTTGTATACATTTAGTTAGTTAAATTTATTCATAAACGTATACTTGAAACATTATATAATATTAAATATATTAGAATTTCCATATAACAATTGGTATTAATAGACAAAAGAATATAATCGAAAGAGTAAAACCGAAAAGTAAAATTGTAGGATATTTTAAATGTTCATAAAACTAATATTATTACACTTATTTAACGTTTCCTTATAATTTGACATATTTACGATTTAAAACAAATATTCATATTTTTCCCGTCGAATTCCAAGTACAAATTGATTAGATTTAATTTTCAAAAAAATCGATAGTAAAATTTTGTTATTGTATCATAAAGACATAAGCCTTTCAAGGGAATATACAATTTATATTAAGACCAATTTCTGCATCTGTAATATAATTACTTATTTTAGCCAATTTTTATTTTCAAAAACTTGCGCCATGGAAAGTTTGCATTTACTTCGAATGATACGAGGAACTACAGAAAGTACACTAACAAAAGATAAGCCTTCCAGAGACACATTTACAAGTAACTTATGACACTTAGTGACACTTAGGTATTGGATAAGTGTATGATAATTAGTATGTGATGTTAATGAAAATGGTCTATAAAACAAAATAAATTAGGTGACAAATTCGAATAACAGCAACAACAATTCAAATATAAAGATATACAATTAGATAGATAACATAATTAAAATGCGAGTAATACAGAGGATTATTGAAAATTAACACGATGCTAGTTTTAATTTAAATTAGTAAATAATGTAGAGGACAAGACAAAAAAAGTACTAATGTACTAAGACAAATGTACTTATATAACTTTACGTACTTTATTAGAACTGCGTATAATAAATACTATAATAATCGAAATAGTAGGATAGAATATATATACATATATATATATATATATATATATATATATATTAATTTGAAATATCCTTACCAGCGGGTGTTTCTTCATTCCAAAATGAATCATCTAAAGTATAATCTGCTTCTGTAATTGTAAAATATATGTAAAAAGTTAATCTGTACACTGCAGTATAATAAACTGTAATAATGTTTATATTATGATACATTTACTCTAATAGTATGATTACCAAACATTAAATAATTCGTTAAAGTATGCATTTTCATTAATTATAGACTTCTCTTCAATTTTTTGTTTAATTTCTATTTAATAGATACATTTCTATTTATATAAAATATCAACATATTAAATTAGAACTTGTTTGTATGTTATATATTACATATAATCTATAATAACTTTGAGAGGCAGTTAATTTATTTATTATTGAAAGATAACTTTTATTGGTTTACTTTATCTTTTTTGTGCATGATGAATTTTCGTCGTGTACAATAATATCACTAACAAAAACATCTAATACAATAGTCATATTGAAATAGCTAACTTTCAAAAATTGTCTAAAACGCGACATATACTGCATAAAAAATATATAAATAATGCACAATAGAGTAATAGTTTATATAGAAAAAAATAAAGAACAATAAATAAAAATAAAAAATTTAAACATAATTTACTATTAGTAAATATTTATTACTGTATTTATAAGAACTGATATTAAAATTTATTTTTAATTAATTTATTTACTGCAGAAGGATTTACATTATTAGACATATTTATAAAATATCAAATAATTTCCAATTTCATTAAAAAACTTAATAAATAATAAATAATAATTATTTGTAATCATTCTTATTATAATAAAATTATTACAATAAAAAAATACTTACAAATAATTATTATTTATTATTAGTTATTGATTAGTAGTATTTGATATAATTGTTATTAATATTAGATAAAATTTGCATAAATGTAAAATTTATGTATATGTAACACTTGATTACAAAAGTTACTTTTTAATGTTTGCAAAATTGTACTAAAAAATCTTTACTTTGTACTATAGATATTTGATATGATATTATAAACCAAGTAAAAAAATGGCTTCTTTGATCACAATAAAGAATTCTATTTTTTGTTAATCGATATCAAATGTTAGTATTATAATAATTTTTTTTCAATATTAATAATACCAGCATTAAGTTCAATATAAACTATTGTGTTTGAATTCTGACGAATAGAATTAAGAATAAATTAGAAATCTCCATTTATTTTGCAGATTATTTCACATAAAACAACTCTTTAAAAATTAAATTAATTTAATTAGTCTGGAATTTATGTTAGTATTTGTTTTCAACTGTTGATTTTTCTTTATTTTATTCATTCATACATGCTACTTTATTCGATTATTTTACTTAATCTTTATAATAATAATTTATAGTAGAAGAATAAATAATCCAAGAAATATGTTCACAATCTCTGGAAATGATTAAATTAAACATAAATAATAATTATATAGTTAATAAAATAAGCAATACATAAAGTACATAAACAGATATACTATAAATATATATAGTATAAAAATATAAATAAAATATTTTAAAATACTTAAAATATAATAGAAAATGAACTTATGTGTACATAACTAATGTATGCCGCACTGAAACTTACAAAACTTGTTTTAACATCCGTAGATATTTAATATAATTATTGTATAATCCTCTATTTCATAAACGTTCCAAGAATTTTTAATTTTCACTATTTGAACAATATTTATAAATACTTTTTTGAGTTTACTTTTATGACAGTGAATTTATTAGTTATCATAAATGATAGATAATTTACTAAAAACAAAACGGATTGCAAAAGATGTGTACTTTATTCATTCAGGTAAAATCATTAATAAAATTAAGTGATATAAATTTCTTTTAAAATGTATATATTAGTGATAGTGCTAATTGAATTATAATATTTGATTTTTTTATTTTAGATTTCAATTCTTAATATTCGAACCATAATGTTTATCTTTCTTGAAATTCTCAAATCTTATCGAGTCTAAACTCTAAAGTTATTAAATATTATTACGTCTTTTTAATAAATTTTTATTTTATTAATTAATTAATTATTTTTAATCAATAAAGTATAATATATGTTGTTATAAGCTTAGTCAAACATTCTTAGGATTCATTAATTAATTCATATATATAACTGTTATTTAAATATAATTATCAATAAAATTATATAATTCCCTTAAAATAACTCAGTATTTCAATTATTCATATTTAAACATTTGAATTTAAAAAATAGGTCAAATCGTATATATGAATAAATCGTAGATAAGATCCCCAATTAATTTAATAAATTATTTCATATATTATAAGTCGTGAAAAATTCGAATCAATTCCAAGATGATATATAAAAAGTCATCGAAGTAATTTATCATTTATTCACAGAAACAAAGGAAAATTAAATCTATTTTTTTTTCAATATATCTTTGTATTACTTATTTTACATAAATAGCTGTATTTTATATTTAGTATTGAATAAGGTATTACAACTAATAATATATAGGTATATATATAAGTGTGTATATAATAACTTTAATTTTGTTAAATAATGAATTTTATTATCTGAATTTATTTTTAAAAAGGATTCTCAAATTGAATCATTACTAATAATTCATCACAGAATAGATAATGAAGTATTATTTAAAAAATAAAGATACATTGAAGGTGGTGAGTGCTCACGTGCATTTGTTTCAGATTTCAAACGCTTTGCCACTTTAAATAACCGGTAAAGCGTAGGAATTCTAAAACAAATATCACTTTGAAATCTGTAAAATTTTTTTATTTTCCTGGTTAAAAATATCTATATATTTAACTATATATAGTAATAAAGTTTTATTTTCGATTTCAAATTACGAACAAACATTAACAATAAGAATATTAATAAAAGTTGCATTTTAACGATTATAACATAAAATTAATCTGTACAAGCGATAAACGCATAATTTATTTATATTTGCCATTTTATATACATCAAAGTAAATAAATTTATAAAAAATTTTAATTAAGTTTTATCAAATTTTTGTTTTTATTTTATAAGATCTAACTAGATTTACATAATAATTTGACATGAATTGTCGTTTGAAATATATGAATATCATATTGACAATGAAGATATTTTTGTTTGAGAAAAAAAAAGGTATCAATTTTTGTTTATATATTTTTTAAATTTATAATACATACAATAATCACACATGAGATTTAAGTTAAATAGAATACCTTAAATTGTAAAGGTCAATATATTAGTAATGTAAAGTGTCACTATGTAAAGGGCATTACAATATTTTTCACTTTTTTTCGGTATCTTAATAAAGCAAATACTTTATTAATGAGCAATCAGAAAAGGATTATCGATAAAGACGTCAGTAAAATTATCAGCAAAAGTATATATAATATCACTGTTGCTTATTTATACGAAACCAACAAATTATTCATTCAAGTAATATAAAAAAAGAATAATAAGAAAATGATATAAGTGAATTTTTTATTATATAATATTAATGTATAATTATAATATAATATAATGTATAATATAATTATATAATATTAACATATGAAGTAATAAAATGAAAAAACTAATAATTATAACTTTATATATATTAAAAACAGCTATTTTTAAACTAAAATTTAATATAAATATTTTTTATTATTTTTATTTTTAAGTTATTTAAATGTGTGAAGAGCTTCTAATTGTATTTGAATATTGTTATTCCAAAAGTTGTTTGACGGTTATTTCATTACAAGAGGCATAGATTTTCAGAATTTCTATATTTTTATAAATTTTTTAATACTTATTATACAGTTATTCTTCATCTGTATTTGAAATTCAGAAATATACAAGAAGACAAATAAAATATATTAATAATGTAAAGTTATTTAATAACAATTTGAATTTAAATTTAAATTTCAGTGCAACCCGGGAATAAATTTTTTTTTCTTTGTTTTTCAACATTGCATAATTATTGTACAATATTTATATAAGTATTTATTAGTTTCTAGTAAATAGTAGTTACTGCTTTTATTTTAAAATTTTATTAAATAGTCGAATAAAAAAAAAAAAACAAGACATATATATAATTAACTATATCTTTAGAGAGATATCGTTCTTTGTTTCTAAACCAATTTACAATGCATTACTTATAGTTCATATTGTTAAATCCATTGATGTTACGATTTAACGGTAATTAGAAGATGTAACTTGTGATAATTGAAGAATATTTAAAGATCTTGTTCTGTTGCCAATTTACTTAAAACCGATATTCTTAATTTGGCTAGCATTAAAAATATTGTTTGTAACTTGTATCATAAAAATGTGAAAAAATTCTTAAAACTTTTCAAATTTGTTGAAATATAAAAAATATCAATACTTGAAGGATATTTTAAATATATATATTCTATGTGAAGACGGGTATTATTTTTTTTTATTAATATATTGTTAGCTACGTTAATGTATAAGATATTGTTTACATTTCACAAATATAAAATGCAAACTAAGATATATGTAATATAATATATAATATATAATAATATAATATATATATAATATATTTAATTAAACACTATGTCTAAACTTACATAGTTTAAATAATTTACATTTCAACATATACATATTTTTCAGTTCCTTCGTGCTCTGGACACTGTGTATGACATTCTACTTAGTATGAAATTGTTACTGGTACGTTCGTTTTCTAGCGGCTCTGCTGAGAGTGTTTGCAATTACCCGACTGACTGGTTCTTGGATGACTAACTCATGGCTGAATAGCTCATGGCTAACTAGCACCTATCTCGCGGTGCGCTTACCTTAAATATTCACGCGGCAGCTTTGTTAGCTGACAATAAAAAGGTGATTGTGGTGTTTTAAACAATGGAAGCGATTGTGCACTTGTATTTCCGGACCCTCAATTACCATTGCAAAATGTCGCAGTAATTATAACTGTTGGAGTTTTTTCCCGAAATTATAGCCGTTGGAGTTTTCCCCAAAATGATAGCCGTTGGAGGTTTTCCTCCGAAACGATAACCATTTTTTCACCGAAATAATAACATTCGAGAATTTTTCGGAATCTCGAACACGTAATAATTTACTTATCGAGTTATATTGCTTTAGTGTGCAAATAAACTTGTTATTTTATTCTTGCTACATTATTATTTAACAGCAAATTTTCTGAAAGTAGCTTACTTTATTTCTGACGTATTAATAGATAATGTAACAGTAAATTTTTTAAACTGTAATTTCTAATAAATTCTGCATAAAACGTAAATATATTATAATACAAAATTAAAATGAAACCCTTTCAGTTTTCTTTTATAAATTTATTATTATTGGATTACATAGAATAATGTTTTTGTATAACCTTTAAAATAAAAATTGTTTATTTTTATTCATAAACAGAAATGACAGAATTATTATGTATTATACATGGATGTTGCTATATATACTAATATTTGTATAATTTAATAATATTATCACACTTATAAAATTTGTAACGGTTTCAGAGGCTGACAAAGATTGAAAATAAAAATTGATAATTAATAATCTCTTTCAAATATTGATAATGTTATACATTTATTAATAAGTCCTTCAATCATAACCCACTTTCCCAACTGTAAGAACATTTTAACAAAACTTAAAAATTTTTAGATTTATATAATTTTAGCATTTACATTTTATACATTTTCATAATATTTATATTTAATTATTGTCTATTACAATACGGATAATATTGTTGTTCAGAAAATAACGGAAAGTTTACTAAATTAAGAATTCAAAGAGATTTGTTTTAGGATTTAATGTCTACATTGTCAACCACAAATTATAAATATATAATTTTATACAAGCTCAAAATATTGATAACAAATATTATTAAATGATATCTAATTCATGAAAAAGATAATATTTATTTAAAAATTTGTACACTTGGGTTTTTTTAATTTCAAAATGTTATGAACCTATGCTTTTATTTAAATTAACTATATAAATGTTATAATATCAAAACATTAATAAGATAAAAACATCTAAATTTTTTATTTTTACTTGCTTAAAAGTATTTCCATAATTTAACATTAATTTTTTTTTCTACTTTATAAATATGTTTCGAAAAAATTCTGTTATTTAAATAGCTTAGTTTTTTTTTTGTTAAAAATCAATAATTTAATATTCCCCTTTTTAAGTATAAAAAGTAAAAACTATTTAAAATTGTACATAAGATATGCATAAAATATACATATTTCTACAAGGAATAAGACTTCATTCTGAACAGACAATTTTTTATTAGTCTCGTGCATAATAAAAGTAATACTTTATAATTAAGCACTGAATACATTTTATTATTAAATTCATATTATAATTACTTAATATTTTGTTAATAAATTTATAATTTATTAGCATTAAGTTGATATGATCTTCAAATATTGTGGCCTTATGTAAACTAAATAGTTTTTCTTTTTAGGAATAATTGTTTCATTATCACAATTTAGGTTTAATTATTATTTATGAACTTCAAAATTATATTTACTTTTATAAATATTATATGTTAACTAGTAATTTTTAATAAATAATAATTTTTAATAAATATATCTTATAAAAAGAAATTTTTTTAATTTGTTCATTGAGTAAATCTCAGTGTAAATCTTATGAAGAAAATAAAATTCCTATATTATAAATATATATTTAATATTGCTATAATTTAATATGTTCAATTAATTGCTGTATTACATTAAGAATATTAATAATTAGTTATGCCTATCATAATGAAATATAATGTTAAATATTTGTTTTTTACTATTTTGAAATATGAAATTAATTATATTTTATAGATATGCATTTAATATGTGTTAAAATATAAAAATATTTTAATTATTTATAATTTATACTTAAGAAATTAATTTTTAATTACAAATTAATTGTGTTGTAGAATTTTAGTCTTATATAAAACTATTGTACAATCAATAAAATATTATAAATAAAAAGCTAAAAAAAAAATATTATGTTCAAAATATTTAATAAAATGTCTTAAACATAATTAATCATTGAATTTTTAATTATATATTTAATACGTAATATTTATTTTATTTTATTGCAAATGAATTTTTACCTAGTTTTAAAGTATAATAAAACTTTCATAACAAGTGTTTCAATTTTAATAATTCAAAAATTTTTAAGTTTTTTGAAATAATCATATTTATATGTAGATGTGTGTATTTGTATGCAGATTATACTAACCTAAGAGAAAAAAAACAACTTTGTTTATAGATATTGTCTTATATTTCTTCTATAGATATTATTTTCTAAATATTATAATAAATTCATTTCGCATTGCCTCTGACATGAATAAGTATGAGCTCTTAATCAAAATTTGATATAAAATCATAATACCTTTTTGTGCTTCTTAAAATTATAATTTTTTAAAATAACTTTTAAAATAACTTTCAAGTCATATACAGTTTAATCATTTATACATATTCAAAATAAGGTTAGAACAGTAAAATTTCGCAACCTAAATCATTTAAGATATAAATAATATATATATATAGGTATCGTAGGCGAAAGTACACATATATGCATGTGTAAATACGCATATGTATATATGCATATGTATATATATATATATATAAATTTGTAAAAAAAACTATTTACCTCTTTTAGAGATTGTATCTAAGCTATTAATAAATCCAGGTAGAACAATTACAAGAAAGAGTCCACAGTGTACCCAAAACATGTTTATGTTTTAACATCATCGTTTACTTCCATGTTATATAACACTTTGAAAACGTTAAAATATTGACAGTTTTGTTTGTAGGTAGCATAATCAATTATCACCACTTGGTTATTTCATGAATACAAAATTATTTATTATTTATTATGATTACTTTATTTTTTTCTATTCTATTACTTTATTATAATATTAGTTTTTATACTTATAATATATATAATTATACTTTATACACTCTTGTTTTATATAATTTTTGTCATTTAATTTTGTTAATAACTTCAATCAAATATAATGTTTAGAAAATAGCAATATCTAGAAACAATTATTGATAATAAACATTTTTGTTTTCAGTATATTCTACTTTTAAATTATGGCATATAGAATAACAACAGTACTATAACACTTTGCTATATGCTTTTTGGAAAATACAAAATTAAGGAGCTTTAGCTGAACTTTACGAATGCTTATACCGCGCGCACATCTGCCATCTTCTTTCCCACCCAGAGTATGAAAATATTTGTAGCTACTCTAACCGCGCCGGTCCATACAAGACCCACCTTTTATCGATTCCTACAGTTTCCCGTCATTCCCTTTTAATCAATAATACCACGTTCTCTGCAACTCAACCATCACAGATGAATCGAGATGCGAAATTGGCTTGCGCAGCTTCTGTTTCAATTATATATATCCTTCGCGCCAAATCTGAACAATTGTTCTACATTAATCATATCATAATTTCTTTACATTCAGATTCATATCTTCTTACTCTTTGTACCAAAACACTAATTTAAAAAAATTTTGAGTTTATTAAAACGTAAATTCAAAATTGTTTAAGAACTAACTAATAAGTTTGTAATATTTATTTTATAAGTATATCATCATGTTAATTTGTTTATTTATCATGTAATTATTATCAACTTTAATTATTGAAGAAACTTTTATAGTTTATTATTTATTCAACTAATCAAAAAATCTATTGTTTTTGTGGCACATGTTTCTAAACGATTAATTTAAAAAAATTTATAGAAATATATATTGTTTAAGAATTTAATAAAATATAACATAAAATAAAAAATATAAACAATTTGTATTAACATGTATTATTTCTAATATTTTATATTACTAATATAAGTAATTAGTTTAAAATTTCGTTTAAACTACATAAATACTTACAAAATGATAAGCAAGTTATCTCTATAATATAATGTGAAATTGATAACAACTTGCAGTTTTTATAAATAATAGTTTATACAAAGGAAATTTTCAATATATTGTATATTTAAAATTTTGCAATGTATTAAAATAAAAAATTAAATTTTTTATTCATAAATTTTGTATTTAAAAACTACAATTTTATGAGAATTTATTATTAAACATTATAAAAATTGAATGTAAGTCACATTTTATCTAATAAATTTATTTAAATAAAATAACATTATATATTGTTATCAAATATAGAATATAGATATAGATATAGAACTAAGAGTAGCTAAATTTTCAAAAGATAGCTGTATGTTTGAAGTTTCGCAAATGAATGTGTACTGTAAATTATGTAAGTTTACATTTTAGTTATAAATGAAATTTTTTTTAATAATATAAAAGTTATCAAAAATATTTAATTCTGCTTTATCAAATTTCATATTAATTTACTTAAAAAAATCATTTTGATATAAGGTAGATATATAAAGTGTGTTTAATGATTTACAATACTAAAAGAAATAAATAAATAATATAAACACAATTTATGTTCAATAAAATAATAATTGTATTCAGTGTGATTTCGAAATTATCGTATAAATTTTGTCATGTATGACTTATCATAAATTATTTAAATATTTTCAACAAATAAGAATTAAATTAATTTGTATTTCTTATTTTATAGCTTGATAATTTAAAATATCTTTAATGCCTAGACAGGAAGCAAAGGATCCTAACCTACAACTTTTTTAAGAATATAGAACAAAATAAGGAAATAATAGATAAACGGAACTAATTTCTGCAAGAATAAAAATACATAAAAAAATTTCATTGTCTCAAAGATAGCTATAAGATTCATTGTCTTAACTCCATGTACTCATATTTTCACGGAAATGTAATGCGCATAATCTGCTTGCACACCACTAGATATCGGTAACCTTTTGTATTTACGTTCATGCCTTTAGATGTTTGCAAGAAGTTTCTTCTTAATCTTACCCGTGTAGCATTAAAATATACGTGAGCATGTAACAAGCAGGAATATATAAATAGGCAAAAACTAAAACAAATTAATAGAATGTTTATGAATAAAAAAATTATTTAAAAATTATTGTTACATATAGAATTCAATCAGTTTAGTATTGAAGTGAGATTAATTTACAATAAAATTTTCAATTAATTTAATAAATACTACTTTTTTCATTAGCTTAGTACACATATTTACTTTATGATTTAATTGCAACATAAATAATTTAATAATATTACAGTAGCTATTGTGTTGAAGAATTTATAAACCTTTAGGAAAATATGTTTAAGAACTATTTTACAACAAATTTATAAATTATCAGTAAACTATAAAAACATTTTAAATGCAATTCACACGCATATACGTATTGTATGCTGTACAAAATGCAACTCGTCATTCCGACTTGTTTTATCAAGGCCGGTTCGACGGATACAATTTGATGCCATTGACAACTCAGAGACCACGGGTGTTGTGTGGTAGCGATGACAGGTCACAAGTGGAAGGGATAGTATAATAATACAATAAAGATATGGCTGAAGTATATGCTATTTATTCTATTATTTATTAATGACAAGGTTGACTAGTATTACTATTATTGCTTGTAGAACTAAATTCTTGGATTGAAGTGATGTGTTGCGGAGACAACTGTACAATAATCTATGCAGCTTGATTGTTGAATACGAATGGCGAATGGCGCGAAGTTTCGTTCGTCGACACTAGCGCCTTTTGAACGAGCACGTGTGTGGTTGAGGTTATGAATGCAGCTTTATGATTGAAAGATATTGCAAAGTGGCGCGAAACTGGATTGTCGACACTTGCGCTGGGTTTTGCTTACTTTCGTAAGCTTCCGAACTTGAACCAAGGTGAGGGTTACGAAATGAGATGCCCTTGCGGGCGCGACACTTGACAACGCGTACTGGAATTTATTCCGCACTGTCGTTCTAATAGTAGCTTCGC